TACCTTGAAACGCTGATTTCAAATATGCTTTCCATAGCTGCGAAGCATTACTTTGAAGCGAGTTATGTGCTTTTTCTTCAGCAGACTTTGCTTGTTGAACGACTTAGACATGCTACGGTATCATCATCTAGGTAGTGGTTCAAACGCATATTATACCCTATCAAAGCCAAATGACTCAATTTGATGTTATTTTGATTTTCCACCACTTTTTGGGCAGATTTTCATCCAAAGGCCTTCTTTCCATATCCGGTTGTATGTCAATGATACATATCAAAAAAGCTCATAACTCGCTTCAGAGAAATGCTTCGCAGCTAAGGACATCATATTTGGAATCAGCGTTCCGAGCTGATTCCAAATATATGTGTCTCATTTCAAAAAACCGACCTAAGTTAAGTGACTTCTCTTGTAAGATATGTAAAATAGTTAGAGGGGTACATAAAATAGGTAAAATCAGCATTTCGAAGCGGAACTGACACTCTCATCAAAAAAGTCTTGAAGGGAACAGAATTTGAATGTCAAAAGTTATAAAAATTCTGAAGTTCGAATTCAAACAGTTCAGCAAGATCTTGTAGAGGTTGAAGAGTTCTCAAAACGGCTTGAACCAAAAAACGGCGATCGGCGCATGTCTTAGGTGCTTGCTGCATGTTAATCCCAAATCGTTACATGTTATTCGTAGATGTTCGTTGTGTTTATTTGTTGAATTTCAACAATAAAAGTTTCAAACAACCAAGATTGAGGTGGCGTTGGCCGTCTCGCTGCAAGTATCAACCAGACTTCAATATTCTGTTATTTTTCTGCTATCTTTATTTCAGCGAAGTCCCGCGTGACAAATCCGGACGAAGCTTGAGTGCGTTGCCACCACAGCAACACGAAGCAAGGAATCAGGACGAAGGTGGAAAGCACGAATTTATTCGCTTCTTTATTTACCTTTACTTTTGACCCCTTTACCTTTGTTATGAGTTGGAGTTCGTTTAAATTCCGTCAAAGGAAAAGGGAGGTTGTGCGGAAATTTTGGTTTACTAATTAATACAGGGTGTCCCAAAAAAATGTGAACACTGTTTGACCGTTAATAGCTCCGTTGCTTTCATGCCTTTCGCCGAGCCTGAGGCACCATTTTGTAGAGCGAGGTCCATCTTAGATTTAGAGCATGGAGCGAATCACCAATCGCTGTTCGTTACTGTAGGATTACGGTATGAACTTCTAGCATGTGGTTCTATTGTGAAATATGCCATTCGACAAAAATTTTTTCAAAAAATCTGAAAAATCGTGTACTAGGGTTTTCGCACACGCTGATTCCATTACACAACTTTTTACGAGCGTTTTTAGCTTTTTTGACGGTGTAGTCACATTTCTGACAAATGCTAGAAACTCATTTGTTACGGTTTACCTGGGAAGACCTTGGAAAAAAGCATCAGAGTAAAGTGAAAATTTCATATTCGAACTCAGCGGCTTCCATTACCATAGTATAAAAGTTTTTGGCTTGTTTGGCTTTGTTCCGAGCAGAATATGGCCTACAATATCCTAAAATCCTTGTCGAAGTTCTTACCGTAATCCTACAGTAATGAAGAGCGATCAACGATTTGCTCCATACTACAAATCTAAGTACCTCGCTCTATAGAATGGTGCCTCAAACTCAGCGAAAGACATGAAAGCAGGGGAGTTATTAACAATCAAACAGTGTTCACATTTTTTTGGGACACCCTGCATTAGGTTGGTTTATAATTAATGCACGTTTTTCCTACCTCTTCTTTCAAACGTTAGTTTTCAATCAAAAATCGTTTTTTTCTGAAACCATCTAAACTTTCGGAAAGCTCGTTTCTTTTAATTTCAAACATACACTTTCGTTTTCGGAGATCTTTGTTCAGACCGAAGTTCCGTGCCCTTCAAGGGTGAGGAACTCGAACTTGAAATCTTTTCCTTTCATTCGGCTTGCTATAATTCCATGAAAAATGCTCAAATTTGCTTCACAAAATATGTGTTACAATAGCCAAGATTTGTGCTACGTAAAGCACCGAGGCTAAATTTTTTAGAAATCCTGAGCCGAGAAATTTCGACTCAAACTTAGCTGAATGCTGAGATCACTTGGAGCTTTATAAAATGCTTACGTAAGAAGCAATTACAGAATTTTCACTTGGTTTTGGTATAGTGGACCGATGAATACTAATATTAGGGAAAACGGCAGAATTTTCTCGTTTTTCAAATAAGAAAAAACTAGAGGAATCTAAAAAATACAAATTTTTGCCTTCTTTAAAATGCAGGAGAAAATGGTACTTTTGCTTTCTTGGCAATATTTTTTCGCAGAAAATTTTTGGTAAAAGCCAAGTTCCACGCTACTATTGAATCGACCATCGGCTACACAATAAGCAAAGTTTGCTCCAATCTGTTCCTTTCAAGAGTGACTTATGCTCCTTCAAACTAGAGCTTTCCAGGAAAAATTCTCGGTAAATTTTGAGCCGCAAAATCTTTCCCGTGGCGAGTGCAATCACACAAAAGTATAAGTTGTATAGCTAAAAGTTTGCTGTTTACAACAGTTTTTGTTGCGCTCAGAAAGATTGTTTCGGAAAAGAATTATCCTCATTAGAAGTGGAAGTTGAGAAAACGTGCATTAATTACGAACCAACCTAATGTCAATTTTTTTGAGATGTTCTGCCAATTTTTCTCAAAAAGAAAGGAAATGCAAAAGGAAGACGGTGGTTGACAAGTGCTTTTGATATGTGATGATGCCAGCTAGCAGGACGCTAACTAGCGCAAAAGAATTACTCTAAGAAATAACCAGGATCCGCAGAACATTTTGATCGGATTCTACAAAGGTTTCACTCGTTGGAAAGGTTTGTTTTGCTCTCCTATGCTGAGAAGTTTGATCTTTTCGATATGCAAACTATAAAATATCGTGAAATGCAATTTCTTACATGTCTTTGCCTGCTATAAAAGCAAAAAATATAAATAAATGTCTTTGTTGATAGGCCATTCTTGCCTCTGACAGATTCTAGCTGTTTTTCTTGTCATCAGCTAGGCGAGATATATGAGTTACTTTCCTAAGAATTAGTAATGATAAATGACTTCTTTTCTCTTGAATTGCTATTTCAGTAGAGCAATAGTTACACCAGTAAAGAACAAAACAAAATGTTTTGAGATTTGACTTGTAGAGTCTATACAATCACTAGACTCATAAACTTGTGACCTATGCACGCAATGCTTTAAGTGCAGACTGTATCCCTGGGGAAAAAACCTTCTGCAGAAAAGGGTTTTACTTCAGTTCTACAGCTTTATTGATTTATTGTAATTACGATAATTGACCCAGCAATCTGAATCGCAAATTCACCATGTCGATAATGACACGATGACTTTAGACGCATTTTGGCTCTCATTAGGGAAAGATCCTTGATCGAAGTGGTCTTTCCAAAATAAACGCGTATATTCTGGAAAAACATCGAACGCTGATTCCAAATCTGTCATCTTTAACGCGAAGCGCCTCCGGACAAGGAATTATGGGAGCTTTTCTAGCGATTTTTTGACCGCGTAAGAAAAAATTACAAATCTCTAGTGAGCTCAAATGGAAACTGGTGACAGTTGGAACCCTCCGAGAAAATTTTCTACTTGCTTGCTCTGTGCTCGCCGTTATTTCATCTGCAGTCGAAAAGGCTGTCGCCATTGATTTTATTCTGATCGGACGTTCAGTTTTCTTTCATAAAATCGTAACACGTCGCCCAGAAGCGCTCCTCAGATTAGAAATACAGATTTGAAATCAGCGTTCAATGCTCTTTGAGAAAGTAAGCATCTTAGCTGGGAAGGCACTTTTGCTGATGTTCAAAACTAAGAATCCTTCCTTTGTTTGAATTTGTTTTCATTTTAGAGATTCCTGTCTACCATAAGGCTGCCGTAACATTATAGCGTCATAAAAAGCAAAGCGATGCTTTAGTGATTGCCACTCAAAACAAGCCTAAAATACGACTTTTTGTGGGTGTGCGATTTTCATTCTATCCGGTGTCACCACTGCTCTTATGGTTCTGTCATTTTCGTAAATAGAATTTTCACTGACTCCTTGATACATAATGGCTTTCTTCTAAATACACACGTAATTTTTTTAATTCTTATGACAATGCGGCCCACTCATTGGGCTGTAAATCTGCAAAAGTGAAACGTTCGGGTCACAGTGGCAGAGGTTGAACAAGAAATCCGGGCAATGTTACAATTATCTTGCGTCTCAAAACCTTCAGTTGCTTTTAGAGCAAGCTGAAGGGGTGTGCAAAAACGCAAAACGCTTGCAACCAGCAACAAATGTAATCCCAACAGTTTCTGTTTTTATTCTCTTCTCAGAAGAAATAAGCCCAAGTCATCCTTACCACAACACAGGTGTCCCAAAACAATGTATAACGTCTGATTTTTTAAACCCTCCTGCAGAAGAGCTTTCGAGGTCATCTAAACACCATATTGTACAGCTAGCCAGCTTAAACTAGTATGGGGTAGTTACTGAGTGCACTTTATTATTGTAGGACTACGGTAGAAATTTCTGGCATGTAGCGCCAATGTAAATAAGCCGTCATCTCATTGTCAGCAATATCTACAAAATTGAAATTTGTTCACCAGGGTTTCTACCCATGCTGACTTTACTGTTCAAATTGTAACACGTTTTTGAGGCTAATTGAACGCATTAATAGTATCATTCACAAGGCAGATGTAACGTTGTATAGGATAACTTGAAAGAATCACCATGGTAAAATGCAAATGCAAACTTCAGTTTGGATTCTACGCATCTGTTTAGCCTAGCGTAGGGACTTTCAGGTAGTGTGGTACTTTTAATTAAAATGAGACTCTCTACTACCCAAAATCCTCCAACAAAAGTTCCTACCATACAGAAATGCAGGAATTCGCTCTGATTGTGAATCAAAGCTGACCAGCTCTACATAATGGTACTAGCTCGCAAAAGCTCTGCAATGAAGAGGTCTAAAAATCAAACGTTCGATACATTATTTTCGGGCATCTTGTCATCGCCCACATGAGGTTTGCCGTAGATAGCATGCCGGTTATCGTCTTAGTCGGGTACTGGCTTCTCCAAACACTCACTACCCTGTTTCCCCTTTTCCTTACTCTAGCGATCAACATGTCATACGTTATCGCCGCTTCCGTCATATTCTGTGCTGTGGCATTCGTAAATGGGGAGCGGATAACCGGGAAAAAATATGACCAGGATCCAAGCAGACCTATGTATCTGGTGAGTGGTGCCCATTCTGTGGAAGTTTGGGGACTAATCAGTTAAAGTCCTTTGAAATGACATTCAACGGCATGTCAGGACATCGCATGGAAAGCTTCAAAAACGCTCAATGAAGATTCTGCTCTGAACGCTGGATCTTATGCCATGATGCCTATCCAGGTTTGTGGACTTTTTGTCAGTGGCTTACCAAATTGCTTCTCAAATTTTTTCGTTAGCTCAAAGTGGACTTCATGTTTACAGTCGGCATTTTGTCTAGCTACTGTGCTTGTGTGATTGTGGAAATGGTGTATTTAATATTTTTACGGGAATAAGCTAACTTATTGAGTTATAAGACTTCATCTGCTTTATCTACAGCCATACAAAATTCTAAAAGTAACAATCTTTACGAACTTGCGAGGCTTATTTGGCCTGAATCGGTGACCGAACTCAATCTCAGCTGTTACACTGGCGAATCCTAATAACACCTATCGTTCTGCCATCACTTGCTATTTATCCTCAAAACAAGTAAAATTTGCATTATCCAAGCAGATTTTGGCTGTATTTGAGGCATTAAATAATTCGCGCAAAAATGATGTCCGTAGCCTTTGCCCAAGACATAAATATGGTAGAATACTTATCGGACACCATTCAAAACAATGAAGCAAGCCTTACAATATGACTACTAAAATTTTCCCTAAATTTCTGATCCTCATAAGACTATAAGCCGAAATTTGTGAGAGCTTGACTAGGGCAGAAATCGGATTTATCCGGAGAATTTCCAAAAACCCCCAGCTGGTCACTCATGCAGGGTGTCCCAAAAATTGTTAACACCATTTGATCGTTGATGACATCCTTGCTTCGATGTCTTTCGCCGACCTTTAGGTACCATCCTTTAGAGCGAGGATCATTAAACTCACTGTATGGAGCGAATCACAGATCGCTCTTCATTACTGTAGGATTACGGTAGGAACTTGCAGCATATGGAACCATTGTGAAATATGCCATCTAACAAAATTTTTTCAAACGAAATCTGAAAAATTGTGTATTAGGGTTCTCGCGCAGGCTGATTCTACTACACAATTTTTCATGAGTGTTTTCAACTTTTTGCTGATGTAATCACATTTCTGACAAATGCTGGGAAAAAAGTTATTAATGTTTACAGGGAATAACTCAGGAAAGAAGCATCACATTAAAGTGGAAGTTTTATATTTTAAATCAGAGGCGTCCATCACCATGGTATAGGAGTTTCTGACTTGTTTTTCGCTTACGATGTAGAATATGATCTGCAATGGCTTAAAATCTTTTTCGAAGTTCTTACCGTATTCCTACAGTAATGAAGGCGATCGATGTGTCGCTACTTACTTACTTAGATACTTAGATGGCCCGTCCTCACGTGACGTGCGGGCCCCAGTAAGTTGCCATTGATCCCTGTCCCTCGCTTCGGACATCCACGATCTTCTTGGTCATCGTCGGTGGCTGCGTCCACGAGTTCCAGGGACGAGAATCGTATCCAGCTGATTTCTCAGCTGGTCCATCCGTTCCACGAACACGTCTGCCCATCTCGTCGGTGGTCTTCCTCGAGGACGTTTGGCTTCGCGAGAAATCCACTCAGATGTTCTTAGTGTCCATCTATCGTCCGTTCTTCTCATTATGTGACCGGCCCATCGGTGTTTCGCTTTCGCAACGTATTCCGCTGGGTCACGAAGACGGGACATTCTTCTCATATCCGTGCTGCGAAGTCCGACTAGATGTTGCTTGTGTCGGGTCATCTTCAGAAGACCGCGCTCGAGCGCTCTGTGGGTGGTCCTTAAAGCTTTCGACGTGGCTACGGTGTCGGCCCAAGTCTCAGCTGCGTAGCAGAGCGCTGGGAGAACGGTTGAGTCGAACAGGTGGGCACGAAGCTCCGGGTCCGTCAGTTGGTCGGTGGCTTCCTTCAGAGGCCCGAAAGCGGCCCAGGCTGCTCTTCTTCTCCTGTTAAGTTCTTCCCTCAAGTCGTTCTCCATGTTCATCGAACGTCCGAGATACACGTAAGAACACGTCTCCATGATAGGGGTGCCTTCCAATTCCATTTCTGCATCTTCGCAAAGGACGCTCTTCATGAACTGAGTCTTCTTCCGATTTATTCGCAGTCCGATCTTCTTCCCTACTTCGTTTAGTTCCTTCAGCATCGCCTCTGCTTCAGTGATACTGCTCGAGAAAAGGACGATGTCATCCGCAAAACGAAGGTTGGATAGGAATCTCCCATCAACTCGTATGCCTCTCTCTTCCCAGTCTAGTGACTTCATCACCCACTGCAAGGCCGCGGTGAACAGCTTCGGCGAAATAGTGTCGCCTTGTCGAACCCCCTTCCCAATTGGAATGGTTAGGGGGCGATGGAACAGCTGCATCGTTGTTGTACAGTCCTTGTAGCAGTCGGCTAGTGTCCTCACGTAAGCTGGTTCCACTCCTTGATCGACTAACGCAGACAGGATGGCGTTGGTTTCGACGCTGTCAAAGGCTTTCTCGTAGTCGACGAAGGTTAGGACGAGAGGCAGTCGGTACTCCCGGCAGACTTCTACGACCCTCGAAACCGTCTGGATGTGGTCCATGCAGCTGAATCCTTTGCGAAATCCAGCTTGTTCTTGGGGTTGGGCTTCATCCAGTATCCTAGATATGCGTGCGAGGATAATCTTCGTGAAGAGCTTGTACAGCACACTCAGCAGGCATATTGGACGGTAATTTCGAAGATCCTTTCTTAAAAAGAAGGACGGTTCTTGACGTTCTCCACTGGTCGGGAATCCTCTCCTTCTGAAGGTAAGATGTCAGGTGCGACGCGAGAATCTCGTGTAGACGTTGTCCTCCGGCTCGCAGAGATTCGACGGAAAGATGGTCTGGTCCTGGAGCCGTGGATGTCTTCATGGTCTGAATCGCCGTGCGCACTTCAGCAGGTAGAATTCGTGGTGGTGCTTCTCCAGTGGGAACAACGGGCGTCGGCACGGGTGTTGATGAGCGGAAGAGGTTGGTATAGAAGTTCTTCGCGATAGATTCCATCTTGTATCGGGAAGAAGTCGGAGTCTCGTCTTCGTTCAATAGTGCAGCCAGCGGTACATGATATCTACAGAGGTCCCTTCGGCATTTCTTAAGACTTCGTCTTCCTTCGGCTGCTTCCATCTTGGCTTGCCTGTACTTCCTGAGATCCTCCTGCATAGCTGTTCTGCAACTGGCGTTAGCTATCAGTCGCTCGAGATGGGTTGCATTCGGATCCTGCCTCAAAAATCTTCTTCTTTCGAGCAATTCCTTGGTGGTCTTCGAAATACGTTCCAAGTTCTTCTCAAAAGTCACTGAGGCGCACTCTCCACAGGCTCGCAATCCTTTCAGAAGCCGGTCGTAGTCGTAGTTGGGTCCTCCTCGATGGGCCAGTCACATCTTGATATGAGCTCCTCCAGCCTGTTACCGTCATAAACGACTTCCTTCCTTCTCGCGGCACTGTGACAGACTTTCTTTTCCAGCCTTCGGCTGAGTCGTATCTTCGCTCGAAGGAGGCGGTGATCGGAGCCACTGCAGAAGGATGGAACTACTGAGACATCGAGCAAGCTCCACCTTCGGTTGGTGAGAATGTGGTCGATCTCCGCGTGAGTCGTTCCGTTGGGCGATTCCCATGTCCACCGGCGATGTTCTTTCTTCATGAAGATGGAGTTTCCATGAAAGAGTCGTGCGGCGGAGAGAAGCCCAGCGAGACGGTTGCCGTTTTCGTTCCGGAGCCCATATCCAAACTTCCCGATCCTATATTCCTTTTCTAGTGGCATTCCGATTTTCGCATTGAAGTCGCCCACAACATACTTGTAGAAGGACTTTTCGTTGCGGACGACCTCCTCCACGTCTTCGTAGAAAGCATCTAGTTCTGAGTCGTCAGCTGCTGATGTTGGAGAGTAGCAGTTGATGATGCTGATGGTCTTCTGACGTGGAGGGCGTAGTCGTAGGATGGCTAGTCGGGGTGATAGGATCTCGTGCGAATCGACAAGATGGACGATAATGGGTGGACGACAAAGCCAACGCCTCCCACGTTTCGTGATGGAACCTTCTCACCACGAATGATGAGCGTCCCATCATTCATCTGTCGCACGTCCTTCTTCCTGGACTTCGTTTCCTGCAGAGCGATGATGTGGTACTTGATGTGCTCTGCAGCGTCGAGAAGAGCGTGGAGGTCGGCGTTTGTGGAGACTGTCCTGGCGTTGTAGGTGCAGAGCATGAGGCAGTCTCTGTGGCGTGTCGTCCGGGCAGACGTGTCGTTTTTGTCCAATCCAAAAGGCGCCCTGAGGACCCTGACATCAGTCTTGCTACCACCCGGCGCCGTAGGCGGGATCCGATGTGCAGGGTTTCTTTCTATTCTTCTAACTGGTAGAGTAATGAAAATTTTTCCCCTACAAGAGCAGACTTACTAGGCCAACTCTTGATTTCCACGGGGCGATCGCTGACCCCGGGCTTGGAACGGGGAGAACCGCCTAGCGACCTGAAAACCAGACGGCGGTGGATTTGGCCTGGCCGATGTGTCGCTCCATAGTGTAAATCTAAATTGAACCTGGCTCTACAGAATCTATATATATACATATAATATATATATTATATATTATATATATTATATATAATATATATATATAACTCAAACACTGTACCTTTGTTTGTTAGGATGTTTGTGGCTTATAGACTTCGTTCTATGTGAACCGAAAAGGCTGAATTTTGTTCCCCTATAAATGAGACATGGCGCAGAAGATAGGCTACTTTTCGCGACTTTCCGCTGAGTCCTTCTATCGATTTATTGATTTGTTTACTTAAATCTAAGAAACTGAAAGCATATCAATCACTTCTCCAAGTTCAGTAGTAAGGGGCGGTAGAGATCATTTGTGTGTTGCGGTGAGGAGAATGCAGTGTCACGAAGCGAGACGGTCAAGAAGGAAGGACCACGGATACAGGAGCGCTGCAATTCGAACTTGGAGCTGAAGCAGAAAAGGAGGAGAAGATATAGATTGAAGAAAGTGGGCTAATGGTAAGCCATAAGTCGATTTGGAGCAGACATGAAGCCGGGCCATTTTGGATCCTCTGCCCGGGCGGGAAGCAGCTAGTGTTAACTAAAGGTCGGCTAAAGACATCAAAGCAAGGAAGTTATCAACTTAAACAGTGTGCACATTTTTTGCGGCACCCTGTATAGTAACATTCATATACCCGTAATTTTATCGCGCTTAGAATCTCAGGAAAAAAAAGTTGAGAAATGGCAAACTCCACTTCAAAGCAAGCTTTTTTCCAAAATAGGTCATACTACAAACCGACAGAAGAGTGATTGTGAAATCACAGCCTAACATGCGCTTAAGTCCTGTAAAACAACCAATTTTAGCGTCATGAACTTGTGAGCTGCGGACATTATTTTAGCACCAGCAATCACTATTTAGCCTCTGTCCTTACGGTCTATAAGCTCATATATTTTGCAGGTTTTGAAAGCTCAAAGCCAAGTAGTTGCTGGGATCCACTACTACCTGGAAGTCCTTTATGGTGAATCAGGTTGCAAGAAAAACGTAAGCTGCTTACTGAGCTCGACCTTACGATAGATGCTAGTGACTTCAGCAGTTCACTTCTGGCAAGCCTGTCATGCTCTTAAATAAACATATCCTTCTCGAGATTGGCATCAGTCCGACTATAAATTGATTAACGAGTTGCTCAGTAGTAATTTTACTTATAGGGAGTTGACCTTGCCAAGCTGCAGATTGCCGATTGCAAAGTGATGAACGAAGGGAAAAGAGCTGTTTGTACCGGACATTTATTATTTCCTAATGACACTTTCGTTTTTCAGATCTACAATATTAGCTATCATGCTAAACCCTGGCAAAATTACGAAAAAATCAACGTGTCTAAAGTAAAGGTTAGCTTCCGAAAAAGGTTGTTCTCCAATCTGAAATATCTACTTATACACCACGATATCTCGTCAAATTTCGTAAAACGCTGACTGCGCTTCTTTTCTTACTAGTGTCTTCCTTGCCAAAGGAAATTGAGTCATGAGAAAAAATCGTAGGCAGATTAAAAATCTAACATTCAGCATGCGATGGGTTAATTCTATGTGCCTCAGCTCACTTAGAAAGCTATGAATAAATGCAAAGTGTAGGCATGTCCACCCAAATGGGAGATGGTGGGTTTTTTGATGCTGTATAATAGCAGGGCTTTTAAGTAACCAATTGCGCAAGCCGCTACAAAGAATGAGCGAAGCGGGAACCTTGCTTCACAAAGTATTAGGTTGTCCCAAAAGAAAACCGTATTTTTGAGTAAATCAAACTGTTTTTGTTTTCTTAGTAGACTTGGGGTACCATTCGATAGAGCGAAGCAAGCTCTACACAATGACCGCAAAAGATCCGTCTATGTCGTAATCTAGGTAAAGTTTGGAGCAGAAATCAAAAAATTTCTGCAAAAAATAATCGTGTGGAACTCAAACTTGGTCATTATACAATAGACACATACAAATATGCCTGGATTTTTTCCGAGCTTAGAAAGCGAGAAAGAAGAGATACTTTGAAAATGGCAAACTCCGCCCTCAGCCCCTCCCACATACGCCATTGTATACTACAAGCCTTGCTAAACATAACCTTAAAACTTTACTCCTGTGCTCTTATAATCGAAATACCAAGTTTTACATGAAAAGCCCGAAAATAGTGGCATTTTGGCATTTTGGGACCATCTTTGTTTCTCAATTTTGAGCTTCGGAAAAAATCAACCAAAAACATTTATTGATACTACTATGTGTCTACTATATAAAGACCAAATTGGAAGTCCGCAGGAATTTTCTAGAAGAAGACCGATTTTTTGGGGTAGCTGAAAAAATTTGACTTCTGGATCCAAATTTTACCTGGATCATGACTTACAAGGAATGCTTGTTTAGTCGAAGTGGCCTTTTTTGATGGGATGTACAACATATTGTAGAGCATAAAATGCTGATTCCAAATCTGCCTTCCGTATCTGCAGAACGTTTATGGACGAGAAGTTATGAGCGGTTTCTGGACTCAAAAATTGAATGTGCAAGTGTGACAAAAATAACCGTAATACTTTTTCTAGCTCTTCAACGGAGCAATGATAATCACCAAAACACTTCACTTGAAAATTACTCTAAAATAAAAATTATACCACACTTGGTTACGTTATTTGAAGGCTAGTAAGATTCTAACAACTCATTTTATTCAAAATGCACATTCAATTTTGGCTCCAAAAAACGCTCATAACTTCTCGTCCATAAACGTTCTGCAGATAAGAAAGACAGTTTTGGTATCAGCGTTTTATGCGCTTTAATATGGTATACATCTCATCTGGAAATGCCACTTCGACCAAACAAGCTTCTCTTGTTAGACGGTTCTTTGGTGGTCATTTTATAGAGCTTGCTTCGCTATCGAATAATGTCCCAAGTCTGCCAGGAAAACAAATACAACTTGATTTATTTGAAAATACGGTTTACTTTTGGGACAACCTAATAGAAGCGGCCAAGGTGGCTCCGCCCATCAACATAGGTCTTTTGAAGATGATGAGGACGATGGGGCTATGTCAAAAATCCGATGATGCGAGGGCGGATTTATGATAATTCTACATATCAAAGACCAGTTTTGGGCTTGTTATCTTCAAACCATCCACGTTGATGAGCGGAGCCACCTTGGCAATTCTACCTTCTGGAGCGATCGCCTTGTTTCGGAATACTACATAATAGCAACTTTTGCAACGGGACTTGACAATCACTTAGTTAGGGGCTCCAGCACCATACGGTACCAAAATCTCACCGCCCTCAATTTGAGAGATGGTGCCTTCAGCAAAAAGCTCAGCGTTACAGGAGCTTTTAGTTTTACCTTCATGCCCTTATAAACACACCAGTTAAGATGTTAAAGTCCGGTTTGGGCGAAGGTTACTCTTCTCTTGCAACAAAAAATATGTCGTTGACAAAAGGATTATCCGATTTATCAACGTTTCCAAGCACTTAGTCAAGTAGACGCGCTCTTCCTAAATTTCACACAGTTTAACAGCCAGACGAGATCGGGTAAGTCAGCTCGCATTGCTGCTAACCGACACCTGAGTGGAAAAGCTGCACGGTCGGGCACTCACCTTCGCGCACTGGTACGGGGGAGGGGGGGATGCCCGCGCCTGATCGGTTGATGTCCTGAAGGGAAATCCTTGCCTGAATTTGCGACTAATACATACCACCTCAGGGGCGGTATTTATCAATCTCTTGTATGGGAAGGGGCTCCTGTACAGGTCACAGCCCATATAGGCGCGGGCACTAGCGCCCGCAATACATGAAGCCAAGTTGGTGATCGGGCTCCTGCCTCTTCAAAGGTATGGTCTGATCTAACAAGTTTGGTAATGTCGTGCAAGGCAGGTGCCCGCGCCCGATCGACAGGTCGGGCCCTGCTGCCCGTTGGTCCACGCGCCTCAAACTTTTATAAATTACGGGATGGCGCTCCCGCCTTTCCAAGCACTCGTCAATAACGGCCCGAACAGCGAGAGAAAAGTTTAATAAATACTGCCCCAGATCTATAATGTCAAGACTGAAATAGCCCTTTGTACATTTCGAAGGGATGACACCGAAGAAAATGCATAAATTGCAGGATATCGCAGCGATGGCAGGAGGAAAACAAGACCAGGATCCAAACAGACCTATGTATATGGTCGGTTACTAGTCATAACACGAGAGCTCTAAATTCGTGGACGATCTCCACCAAGGTGATATTTGAACGATATTTTAGGATATCGCATGGAAAGCTGCAAAAACGCTCAATCAGGACTCTGCTCTGAACCCTGGAGCCTATGCCATGATGCCAATCAAGGTCTGCATAGCACTTTTGTCAGCGCTCGAAGGCAGTGTCTTGCCACATTTGCTTTTTTGAGATTTTTCGTTATTCTTGGAGCTACTGAGCGCATTGCGTTTAAAAGTGCACTTTCGATAGTGAAAAATGTCTTGTAATGGAGATAATGGAAGTGAATTATTTATGCTGACGAACCGTTTTGAACCGGAGAGCAACCTCTGCTACAGTTGAGGGCTCCTTATACAGTCAGAAAGGCGGAGCGACCCGTACACAATCAAATTGTATGAGGAATATCTTATATATAAAGCTGAATGTCTGTTTGTCTGTATGTATGTATGTATGTATGTATCGTTCATTCGTTGACCGTACGGACTGCCGACCGCGTGGCGACTGCGACGCGTGCCTTCTAAACTTGCGAAAAAGTGACAAGTTGGACCGTGGCTTAAGATGAGAAGAATTCTTTGTTTCTTTTCTACATTATAAAGATGAGAAGAATCCTCTGTTTTCTTTCTATTCATCTTTTCTACGAAAACATCATGCACGCGCAGCGGTCGCCGCGCGGTCAGCAGTCGTTACGGTCAACGAATAAACGATATGTGTGTACGTATGCTCCGAATAGAAAATTTCATTTCTGAACCGATCCGGACCAAACTTGGCACACATACACTTCGGGCCCCGGCGGGTGTCATAGGCTACTTTTCGTCATCGATCGATATCGATTTTATCGATTTTTATCGATTTTTTTGCTGAGTTCACCTACGGGGCTGGGAGTTCGCACAGGGGGGTAATCGAGCATGGGGATTCCGAATACAATATTGGTTTTCAGGATTATTGATTACTTTTATCGATTTTTTGAAAATTTGAGCTAGGGGGCTGGAATTTGGCAAGGGGTGTAATCGAGCATGCTGATCACCCCCCTTGGGGATGATCAGCATGCTCGATTACCTCCCTGTGCCAACTCCCAGCCCCCTAGCTCAAACTTTGCAAAAAAATCGAAAATCGATAAAAGTAATGGACGATCTTGAAAACTAATATTGTGTTCGTAATCTGCATGCTCGGTTACCCCCCTGTGCAAACTCCCAGCCCCGCAGGTCAAACTTTACAAAAAAAATCGATAAAATCGATAAAAGTAATGGACGATCCTGAAAACTAATATTGTGTTCGTAATCAGCATGCTCGATTACCCCACTGTGCAAAATCCCAGCCTCGCATGTCAAAATTTACAAAAAATCGATAAAATCAATAAAAGTAATCGATAATTCTGAAAACTAATATTGTATTCGGAATCCCCATGCTCACTTCCCCCCCCCCCCCTGTGCCAACTCCTAGCCCTGTAGGTGAACTCTGCAAAAAAATCGATAAAAATCGATAAAATCGACATCGATCGATAACGAAAAGTGGACTGTGACACCCGCCGGGGTCCGAAGTGTATGTGTGCCAAGTTTGGTCCGGATACGGCGGAGCCGGGTAAGCCAGCTAGTGTTACATAAATCAAAGAGGATACCGCGACTGGCGTGTCACCTGGAAGATAGGTGCACTCAATGTTGTATGATTCGGCACTTGAATTTAGGCGGTTGAGTTCGGTAGCTTACGGTTATTTCCACAGGAATATCTCCTGTTAGAATAACGGTAAACTAATGGTATTACAAAAATTTTTAAGGGTGATACACAAATCATCACCAGCGCTTTACTTTTGAAAGTCGCAATCTATCGAGTGTGGTGTGTGATTGTATGAATGGGTGCTACAATATCGCTACGGGAATAAGCCAACATATTAACGCAAAATGTTTCGTTTAACTGTCATAGTCCGACAAAGTGCTGAATGCTTAGATATCAATCACTTCTAGCACTTGCGAATACCACATATTTATGTCGTTGTTTTTTACAGTTTTTAAAATCCAAATACTGTTGTATTGCCTGAGACCGTGAAGGAGAGAGGGTCTGAACAGCCTGAATTGGTGATCGAACTCAATGTTATCTGTTACAGTAGCAAATTAGGAAGCACCACCCATTTTACGGCCATCGCTTCTTATCCATCTCCAAGACAAGTGAAAGTTCATGCATTATCCGATCAACTTCTATCTATGTTCATTGAAGCACTGAATATGATGTTTGATGGGCTAATTTTTATCTTCGCTGTTCCAAAGCTGTTTATCGGTATTTTGCTCTGCAGGTTTCGAAAGCCCAAAGTCAGGTAGTTGCTGGAATAAACTACTACTTGGAAGTCCTCTATGGCGAGTCCGGCTGCAAGAAAAAGGTAAGCTGCTGAACTCGACTGAAAATAGATGCCAGTGACTTCAACACAGGGAGTTGACCTTGCCAAGCTGCAGATGGCCAATTGCAAAGTGATGAACGAAGGAAAAAGAGCGGTTTGTAGCACCCATTTCTTATTTCTTAATGACATTTTCCTTTTTCAGATTTACAAAATTAGCTACCATGCTAAACCCTGGCAAAACTACGAAAAAATCAACGTATCGAGAGTAGAGGTTGGCTTCCGATAAAAGTTGCTCTCCAATCTGAGATGTCTATCTATCACGATATCTGGTCGAATTTTGTAAATAGAAAACTCCCAAGTTTTGTGCCGCTCCAGCGACTGCGATTCTCTTATAAAAAGTGTGCTTTTTTAAGAAAAAGTAGTGGTGATTACGAGAAGAAATTATAGCCAGTATAAAATTCCATTCAATCGGCGTTTACTGAAATTTTCCTGCACCTCGCTCACGACAGCTATGAATAACTGCGATGTCTGTAGGCAAGTCCACTCAAAACAAAGGTGGTGAGGTTTTGATGCTGTAAAGTAGCAGGGCTCCTAACAGTGTAATTCAAGCCGCCACAAAAACTAAGTTCCAAAGCGAGAAACTCGCTACACAAAGTAGAAGCGGCCAAGGTGACTCTGCCCATCAACATGAGTGATTTGAAGTTAATGAGGTCGATATTGGGCTCCAGAGTAGGTAAAGTCGACTGCACGAAATCGGGGAACGGAATTTATCTACCCAGAAAGGTATGCCGCCATGTAATTAGCAGGGGACATGAGAGGTCATGAACTGTCAGCAACGCTAATTTGCACCCAATTTACACCGAAGACAAGCAGATTTTGCTCACGACAGATACGACATCATCCTACAGTGTACGAAACGATTTCACAATTTGAATTCAAAGTTCACTAGTGAAATTAGTCCAACTAGGGCGAAAATTTGTATTTAAGGGTAATCTGCCATGCTGGTTTCAAATATGATGGTGTTTTGCGTAAAAATGAAACCGAGCTTCGTGATGGGATTGAAATCAATGTTCAGTGGCGATATTTGGCAAATCAGAATAAAAACTTGGATTTGGGGGTTTCTAAGGGCGCTCTTTACGAATATGGTAAAAGCAAATGTTTTATCATTTTTCAAGAATTAAGTGATATTTCAGCTGCTCATTAAGGAAACTGATTGTAGTGTCCTGAATAATTTAATAACACACAGATTTTAATGATAGCTGGGAATCTTCTCCAATCTTAGTATCAGCTTCACTGAATTTTTTCTTACCTTATTTTCAATTTTTTTTCGCAGTTTACATCATTTTTCTAGTCCTGAAAGTATCATTCTTTTTCATTTGTTTTCCAGTTTTATCAAAAATGCGGTGAAATTCATGAAAAAGCCAAAATTTCAGAAGGAAAAGTTTTCAATGTTTCCGACGAAAACGTTAGCATATTCGAAAACAGCATCATGGAAAAGCCTCAAATGACAATTTTAAGCTTTTTGCAAGATTTTGAAAACAAGATTAAAATACAAAAAGAAAAAAATTTTGAGTTTTCACGTAAAACCATCATCATATTTGGAACCAGCAAGGCAGATTACCCCTAAATACAAATTTTAACCCTAGTTGGACTAATTTCACTACTGAACTTTGAATTCAAATTTCAATGAAATCACGGTTTCGTACACTGTAGGATGATGTCGTATCTGTTGTGAGCATAATCTGCTTGTATTCGGTGCAAATTGGGTAAAATTAGCGTTGCTGACAGTTCATGACCTCTCATGTCCCCTGCTAATTACATGGCGGCATGCCTCCCTGGGTAGATAAATTCCCGCACCCCACGAAATCGCCCGGGTCGCTGCAGGCTGAACGCACGCGAGCGCACCTGCAACGCGGCTGCCGAGTACGGGCGTTACATGACTTATGCGCGCGAATGCCAATGTTAGCCCGCAAGAGACACAGTCGCGCGCGTTCAGCCCGGGCGATTCCGTGCAGTCAACTATAGAGATCTCAAGAGTCCAAAACTTCGAGGGGCGAATTTTTGATAATTTTGGATGAATCCAAGAGCGGCTTCGGACTTGTTATCTTCATCCGCGCTAGCACACGGCATCAAAATTTCACCATCCTCAATTTAGTTGGAGGGTGCCTTCAACAAAAAGTCCACCATTACTCGAGCTTCCCATAAAGCTTCATGAAATAAGGCACCAGTTCTCAACTGTCAATGTCAATTTATACTCTACTGTAGACAAAGGATTCAGATCAGTGATGTCAAGCGTGAAGTAGCCCCTTGGTACACTTCGAAGAGATGACATTGAAATGCGTAAATTGCAGGATGACGCAGCGAAGACAGAAGGAAAGCAAGCCCAAGATCCACGTAAAATCGACTATATGGTGAATTACTGCTTGCATGTAGAAGTTCCAAGTTGAACTCTTACCCTATTTCAGCCGCTGATGCGTTATTCATAACAGATAATTTAGGAGATGGCCTGGGAGTTTGCAAAAGCGCACAGTAGGGACTCTCCAGTAGCTGGCGAATTTGTCATGATGCCAATCAAGGTATGCAAAGCTTTCCCAGTTTGTGCCGATCATCTTGATCAGCGACATTTCTTTAAGTTTGCGAGCAGCTCGTATACAAAGCGAGCATTAGTCTGAGATTTATGATTTGATGGTACACATTGGGATCATTACTAGATTATAGCAAATTAGCAGTAGCAGCAATACAGTATTTATTGTAGAATTTCAATTCGTAGTGATTTAGCTCATTTCAAAAGTTTTGATGTAAATTTCCAAGCTTGAAAACTTGTAGCTGTCATTTTCCACTAAATGAAAATTCACAAAGATATTTTCCAAGTACGTTATTTGAACTTCAATCAAAGACCAATGAATATTTTAACATTTCTTACTTGAGGGCTATACGATGTTTGCATAGCCCAATATGCATCCAGACAAAACCATTTATGGGACTTTCCTCACTAAAGTATTATAGAATGCTAGAAATTTCCGTTTTGACTACTTGGCTACTACAGTTGGCTCGTAAATTTGCAGCGAAGTCCCAGATCAAAGCAAAGTCTGTTTTCAATGAAAAGATAAGAAATTTATCGCCAGTTGTGTATACAGGGTGTCCCAAAAAAATGTGAACACTCTTTGATCGTTAATAACTCCGTTGCTTTCGTGTCTTTCGCCGAGCTTGAGGCACCGTTTTGTAGGGCGAGGTTTAACTTAGATTTGTAGTATGGAGCGAATCACTTATCGTTGTTCGTTACTGTAGGATTACGGTATGAATTTCTAACATGTGGATCCATTGTGAAATAAGCCATTTGACAAAAAAATTTTCAGAAAGTCTGGAAAATCGTGTACTAGGGTTTTCGCACACGCTATTCCACTACAGAAGTTTTTACGAGTGTTTTCAGCTTTTTTGACGGTGTAATCGCATTTCTGACAAATTCTGGAAATCCAGTTACCACGGTTTTTCCGAAGTAACCTTGGAAAGAACATCGCAGTAAAGTGGAAATTTTTTATCCGAAATCAGCGGCTTCCATTACCATAGTGTAAGAGTTTTTGGCTTGTTTTTTTTTTGTTCGGAGGCACCATATGGCCTCTAACGGCCTAAAATCCTTGTCGAAGTTCTTACCGTAATCCTACAGTAATGAAGAGCGATCAACAATTCGCTCCATGCTGTAATCTAAGCTAAACCTTGCTCTATAGAATGGTGCATCAATCGCGGCGAAGGACATAGAAGCAAGGGAGTTATTAACGATCAAACAGTGTTCACATTTTTTTGGGACACCCTGTATAATGCATAAAAAATTTCAAGAAACTAGTTCGTTTGCCGCAGCAGAGGCTATCCTTTTCACTGCATAATTTTACATGAAAATATTTTTGTTGTATAAGGTACACAGAATCGTAGCATGACACAACCGACTATAAATCACGCAAAGCCATTGCCAATTATTTGAATACTCTTACTATTCAGTTACGAAATTCTTTGATCTTACTGTACAGTAATCTCGAACTCGAGTGCGAAAACAGCGAAGAAATTAGAGCAAACATTTACAATAGTTTTGAGTCAAGGCAAATTTGCTGCTCATTAAGAATTCAGACATTTCCCTAAGCGGCGTACTCTACTATTCCCAGTAGTTGAGGCCCTGGGATAGCTCGCGTGATTTGCAGTACTCCAATTGTTCATAACTCATAGTGAAAGATTTGCGGATGTACGGATGATAGGGGATTTATCAACCTACGAAAGTTATACATGCTGTGCATCTGGGGTCTGCCAGTATTGAATCCGAAAACATCTGGCAAATTTCCAGTTCACGTGGCGACTGAAATCGCCTGAGGTATGCCTGGGGCCTAAGAATATTTTTGTTTTATACTTCTGTACCAATCCAGGAAATGATAAATTTTCTAGATTTTGGGGGCCGGATACCATGGCGCCGGACCTGCTAAAATCATCTATGACATGGAAGTTGTTTTTGGTGAATCTAATTGTAAGAAGAAGGCGAGTTTCGAATTCGACCAGATGATATTAGCCAAATCAAATTCTATCAGCATGATCTGCAATTACGTATTTGGCGCTAACGATTAGACTCAACAGATAAGAAGATGCTTGAATAATCTTACTTGCAGGAAGTTGACCTGGACACACTGCAGATGGCCGATTGTAAATTGACGAATAGTGGATATAGAGGTGTCAGTCACTGTCTTTCTGAGAATGATTTTCATCAAACTTCTCAATTTTAGGTCTACAGCATTCATCGCGTTGCCAAACCGCGGCAGAACCACGAGCAAAAAGAAGTACCAAAAGCAAAGGTAGCTTCCAATAGGCATTCTTTTTGACTAACAAGGGAACGATCCCAACTTAAGGTGGCGAATTGGAATGAACCGCATACCATTAGATTCCTTTTGATGAGCTGATTCCAAATCTTTCTTCCATATCTGCGACAACGTTATCTGCAAAAAGTTATGAGCGGTTGAAAATGTGAAGTTATCGGGGTTTCAATGCATAATTCGCTTTAAAATCCAACTTGAAAGTGCACGACTAGCATGATATTGAGTGTATTGATTCCAGGGAATGCTCACATTCAAAAAAAAAACGCAAATAAGCGTTTTTGAACAACTAAATTTCGAGGTATGGTGCTGTAAATTGCCAAATTTGGACTTTTCATTGCTCATAGCTTTTACCAAAGAACTTTAGTTGCTTTTTAGCTGTTCAAAAACACTTATCTGTGTTTCTTTAGAATCTGAGCATTCCCTGGAATCAGTACACTCAATATCATGCTAGTCGTGCACTTCCAAGTTGGATTTGAAAGCAAGTTATGCATCAAAACCCCCGTTACTTCACATTTTTAACCTTTCATAACTTCTTCCAGATAACGTTGTCGCAGATATGGAAAACAGATTTGGAATCAGCTCATCAAGACGCATCTAATGGTATGCGATTCATCCCAATTCGCCACCTTAAGTTGGGATCGTTCCCTTGTAAGAGAATTTGTGCATAAAAATAATCTTGACAAATCATGAAATTCAGATCGTATAAATTGGGGGCTGATTAGGGTGAGACCCTGCTTGCTTCTGCACTCAGTTTGCGCTTCATCAACTGAAAGAAAACACTAAATTCGCCACAATTAAAGGATAAAAAGTCTCTTGCGACCCCGAATTTTGATGGTACATGGAATATTCTTGAGCAGTAGACCCACCATTCAAACGGCATTCACTCTACGTTCGTTGAATTTTGGCTCACAATGAAGGGAAGTCTAGGCACATTTCTCGAGTAATTGACTTTCTCAAATAGAAACTGATTGAGAAATCTTATTTAAAGCATTGCACAAGGGGCAGTCCACAGGCATTCTTTGCCAGAAAGTTTATTATGGATTGAGTATGGTATTAATTGTAAGCATTAGTGTTGTTTTTGGATGCAAGCGACATATATGACTGGGACAACAACGTGATTGAGGCTTCTAGTGGGCAATTAAAATGTTAAAATGGAAATTCAGGAAAAGAAGAAAATATAAGGAAATCCACAACACCTTCAGATGCATTATGCTTGAGCGTTGTCGTTGGGTCGCCAACTTATTGCTCTCATCCTAAAATTCAAGGAAAAAATATGGTAATTTACCATAAACTTTTGACATAAGAAAAAGATGCGCCTAATTCACAAACCAGGTGAAATTTGGAGCCAAAAATCATAAAAATGGAAAATTTCTCTCCTTCCAAAAATTACCATGGACCTCCAATTTGGTCCATTATACGGTACACACATAGTACCCAAAAGCATTTGGTGGATTTTCAGGGGCTCAAAATCATGAAATGAGAATACCCGGATGCAAAAAAAAAACATCGCTTTTTTTCGGATTTTTCAGCTAAACTTGATATTTCTCGACTATAAGATTATGGCTTGTACTATATAATCACATATGTGCGAGTAGAAGCAAGGGTTTCTCGCTTTCTATGCGCAAAAAAATCCGGTAAATGCATCTCCGAATACTATATGTCACAGTTCTATTATACAATGACCAAGTTGGAGATCCTTGAGAATTTTTTTGCAAAAATCCAATTTCCAAAACCTAAGTCTGCTAGGAAAACAAATGCGACTTGATTTTTTAGAAAACGGTTTACTTTCGGAGCAACCTAGTAAAATTCAAGAGCCCATACTGTAACTACTTATTAAAAAAAGTTGTCAGGAAACTAAAATGTACATTGCAGGTAAGCTAGCACTCTTTGAAAAGATATAATTTGCAGAACATGACGAACGGAGGACGAGAAGTGCAGGATCCAAGCAAACCCGAGTATATGGTATTTTATTATCAGTGTTTCATTGCTTATATGCATATAGTGTCAGTAGATTTTCACAAGCACACTCTAGGATATCGCCTGGGAAGCTGCGAAAACGCTCAATGAGGACTCTACTGCAAACTCTGGAGAATATGCCATGATCCCAATCAGGGTTTGTGAAGCAATTCTACAAATTTCCATATCATTCCATTAAGATGCTTATGACACGTAAATAGAGCGGTTTCCCTGATGCATGTAACAACGACTGTTTAACCTAGATTTTAAAGTTTTTGACCATGTTTCGTCCAAAAATGACTGAACATAAGCTCTTATTCCTAAAGTTCTTGCAATTTTCAGCCTGAGAGATCTGCTTCACCTTTCTGCAGAGAATTTTCAAATTCTGAAGCAAATTGTTTGACTGACGCTAAGCTAATTTCAATTCAATTCAAGGTCTTGATGGCCGAAAGCCAAGTCGTTGCCGGAATCACTATTAATTTGAAAGTTGTTTATGGTGAAACCCACTGCAAGAAAGACGTAAGTATTTTTGGGAAAATTCGCAATAGTTATCAGTCTAAAATTTACTTATGAGCTCTTACAACCATCATGCTATCAAAGTCTATCAAGCGACGACCGTAGATGAATAAGTGTACAAGACAATAATGAGTTCTACTTGCAGAAAGTTGACCTCGCCGCACTACGAACAGCCAAATGCAAGGTGACAAAAGAAGGAAAAATAGCTGTCCGTGTCTAATATTTTTTCAGAAAGTTCTCGGAAAACTCTTCTTTTCAGATCTTCGAAGTTCATTATCATGCTAAGCCTTGGCGAAAACTTGAGCAAATCAAAGTATCGAAAGTAAAGATTGATTTCCCATTAAATGCTACCAATGTGGATGCTCTTTTTGCACTACCACACTTCTGATCAAATTTCTTGAATAAATATGAACACAGATAAGATTTTGAGCTTGTTCTTTTTTTTCAACTGGTAGCTTTTTGACTCTATTTCAAACTCATGTGTTTATGTGCTTGAACATTTGCCAAGCTTCCAATAGCTTCAATCATGCCGGGACAATCCAGCATCGATTTCGTTGGATCAGGCCGAACTTCATTTCTCAGCTTCTGGTCATGGAAGAAATACAGCAACTGTACATAAACAAGTTGACAAGTAATATATGTGAGCAAGTTGGACGTTTGTAGGATATTCTTGAACAGAGATTCAATTTCTGAGCATTTGAGAATTTTTCGATTATTCTTACTTCCCGTGTATCAAATTTCGTGGGCTTACTTTGCTCTATCAAATGAAACGTTACATACACTTTTCTTTTTTTGCCTCTAAAGGATAGGTAATATGCATTTATTATACACTAGCTGGCTTACCCGGCTCCGCCGTGTGTTCCGAATAGAAAATTCCATTTCTTAACCGATCCGGACCAAACTTGGCACACATACCCTTCGGGCCCCGGCGGGTGTCACAGTCCACTTTTCGTTATCGATCGATGTCGATTTTATCGATTTTTTGCAAAATTTGAGCTACGGGGCTGGGAATTGGCAGAGGGGTGTAATCGAGCATGCTTAATCAGCATGCTCGATTACCCCCCTGTGCCAAATCTCAGCCCCGTAGCTCAAACTTTGCAAAAAAATCGATAAAATCGATAAAAGTAATGCACGATTTTAAAAACTAATATTGTATTCGGAATCCCCATGCTCACTTACCCCCCTGTGCCAACTCCCAGCCCCGTAGCTCAAACTTTGCAAAAAATCGATAAAATCGATATCGATCGATAGAAAAGTAGCCTATGACACCCGCCGGGGCCCGAAGTGTATGTGTGCCAAGTTTGGTCCCGATCGGTTTAGAAATGGAATTTTCTATTCAGAACATACGTACACACACACACAGACAGACAGACATACAGACATACAAACAGACATTCAGCTTTATATATAAGATTAACCTGATAGCAACTTGTCCGCAGTGAAATTTTCTTGCACGAGAATGGAGCAACTTTATAAATTCCTAAGAAATGGAATAAATACTAAGGAACCTTCATAAGTTCTCCTTTCTTTAAACCTTGGCATGTTGATAGTATATTGTTTAAATTTTTCTATGCCACAACAGGTTTTTATCGGAACTCTTGGTTAGGGCGTTTGGTCGCATAAAGCGTTTGATGGAAGTGATTGAATCGCTTTCAGGCCTCTGAGGACGGCGTTTTTCCGCCGAAACGTAAGGCTCAATAAAGAGTTCCGATAAAAACCTGTTGTGGCATAGAAAAATTTAAACAATATACTAAGGAACCCTTTCTCGTACACTTTTCAGCCTCTCTATCCCAGCAGCAATCGTCTTGTCAGCGTCCTCAACTTCAATCCTCTTGTCGGATCTGTCCACCAACAACTTTCTCAGCTTTGATAGCGATTTAGCATGTCCTGCCGCGGCTTTCAAAGCCACTTTTTCATTCGCTTTCAAGATTTCTTCTGCCATAGTTGAGATCTGCCCTTCGTCAGTTATCCGCCAAGCGTTCTCTTTCTCGAAGTACTGTAAAACCGAATAATGTCAAATCATTTTTGTAGCTTGAAGGGATGTCGTTACCTCTGCAGCATCCTGAACCTTTGTTACAAATAGTCTCAAAGCTTCCAGAGCTCGTAATTTGGTAATCTTGTGGTTGACGTAGTATTCAACAATAGCCATAAACTGTTTCGCAAACGCTGGACTAAAGTATAAATTTACTTCATTCAGAAAGATCTCTAAGTTACACTAAAGATATTTGACCAAAGGAAATGGAATGGAAAGGGAATCATCGAAATGCCGAAAAGCCGCTTATGAGCAACTTTAGACATACCGATGCATACTTAGCGTAGTGGTGGGAGTAAACAGATACCTTTGGGAGTCACACTCAAAATAAAATGCATCTGTATGTGAAGTTGATACTTCGTACGCACAATTCTCTTTTGTTAACATTGCTCACAACAAAGAAAGGATTCTTAGTTGAGTGGTCGATTTCCAGATGACATGCATACCCTCTCAAAGGATATATCAAACATAGATCAAACGCTGATTCCAGATCTACCTTAATTGTCTGCGGAGTTCATCTGGAGAAGGAGTTATAAATGCTTTTGTAGTGAAAATCTGAACACATATTTTGAAGAAAATCGTTCTTAGAAATTTTTCTTGAGCTCAATCCATGAAGAGAAAGTTCTCTTGCTTGCTACCTAGTGCCCGCAATTACTTCACCTGCGACTTGGAAAGGCTGTAACCAATTTTATTCTGGTCAAATGTTCGGACAGTTTTTTGACTTATAGAACGCTCATAACCCTCACCCGGAGGCGCTCCACACATATGCAAGACAGATTTGGAATCAGCGTTCCATGTCCTTCAAGATAATATGCAATTAGATGAGGAAACCACTGCGAGTAAGGATCAATGGAAGTATGCAGATAATGAATGTGGATTTTGGGTCAGCGTCCTCTAAGCATCTATTGGTGTAAAGAACATTAACCTCTCACACCGTCAAGATAATAAAACTAAACAACTATTTCAAAATTTTTGTATGTTCTCAGTAATGATGTACTTACTTTTCAGGAGGATATGTTGCTTTGCTTCTTTGCATAATCAGTTTCAGCTCATTCATCCAAAATACGAAATTGTCCGCACCAACTTTTGGTAGACAATCAACGCAGTGATTCAAAAAATTTGACAGAGAAGGGTTTTCCTGGAAAATTGTCTCGAAATTCTTTGTGAAATTCTTCAAAAAAGCCAAAGCTTCTGATAAATGCTTATCCTGCTGGTTATTACTTTACAAACTTAGTTGGATTTTTTTACGATTCATAAACGCCAATTTATTTTATCTTACTGCATAATAGATGGCTCTTCTTGCATCGAACCCCAATTTTTGGTACTCCATATAGCTCGGAAGAGTCGAGACAGAAGCTTTACACTCCTCGAGCCATTGAGGTAGAATCTGCAGTATTGATGCATAAGCTCTCGCGACGGATTCTATAAAACCCACGAACCTTCAATGTAGGTAGATTAGGTTCAGGCATAAATCGGTAGTCCGTTTTAACTTCCTTGTCTCGCATCGAAACAGTTCTCCTTAACATCAACTTTCTGGGATATTTCAAGAAAAATTGTGACTAATTATAGTACCCTTGTTCATCGCACATTCTCGTCTCATTCACAACGGTTCCTCCACTGGAGATCACTTTGTAGTGGCGATCTATTTCAAAGTTGATGGCAGTGTGCAGGTGTCGCAGGCTATTGATATTCTTAATCTGAAGGGGGAAAATTCGTTGAAAGGAGAATAATGGCAGAACTTAGAGTGAGTAACAAAAAGATGCAGAAAGTATTAAGTAAAGCATTGAAAACAATTCGCATTATAGGCAGGATCAAGCGCACGCCACACCTGGGGCGTCGTACTGAGGAGTCATAAGGGGAGGGGGTCGTAGTTGGGTAGTATGATAATAATAGTGAAAACATGATATTCGTATCATATCCATAATTAGCATGTCAATTAACCCCTGTAGACAAAGTTTGAGCGAATTCTGAAGATTCAAGATACTAGGTTACCTAAGTGAAATGGTCATATTCCAACATGGTTATCTTGGTTTTAAAGGTGAATTAGCTATTCGTTTTTGCACTCAAGACAAAGCACTACTCCTTCTTTGTCCATCTCAGAAATTCCGCTCCAAAAAACCTCCAAACTGGAATTAGAGGTCATCCAAAAGCACGTTTTTCCCATTTTCCGCTTTTAGTGGCTGTGCTTTCACCAGCTATTACTCAGAGCAAAGAAAACGGATCAGGCTTAAATTCCTATGGAATCTACGAGGTTTAAGCTATCAGTTCTAATAAATACTGCTCGCTAAAAATGTTTTTTTGATTAGTTAATGGGGTGTGGCACACCCCCTTAAAAGCTGTGGCTGCCACAGCTTTTAAGGGGGATTTCTGAGATGAACAAAGAAGAATTAGTGCTTTGTCTTGAGTGCAAAAACGGATAGCTAATTCACCTTTGAAACAAAGTTAATCATGTTGGAAAATGACCAATTCACTTAGGTAGCCTAGTATCTTGAATCTTCAGAATTCGCACAAACTTTGTCTTCAGGGGTTAATTGACATGCTCATTATGGATGCATATGGATGTTGCCCATTATGTTTGACAGGGCCTTCAGGTAATGCTATCTTAGGTATATAATTCAGGTGGGGGGGGGGGTCTTATTAAGAAAGCAATCAGGGGGGGGGGTCGTAACCAGCGATCGTGTGCCACACCCCTTGCTTGACCCTGATTATAGGTCTTGATTTAGACCAAGACCTTTAGGAAGACGTGATCTCTTCCATTTTTCACAATTTCGTGTGCAGACACAGTTTGAAAAAAAAATCATACATTTTGTAATGGTGCATGGGGCACAATCTATGTTATTAAACAGAGGTGAAACAAAAAAAAGAAACATAAAAAATAATAAAAAAAATAAAAAGAAGCACAGTTTTCTATCCAATTTCAATCGCTAAACTGAAGTTGGAATGATCTGGTTCATTTCATTTCAGGTTTTGCTTTGAGTTTTGAAACCTATTCTTTCTGTTATATATCATCACATACCCGTGCTGATTAGATGTATTTATGAAGAGCCCTTTGATTCAACTAAAATGAAGACTGGAAGGCGACCGCTGGCACCCGCGACGCAGTCTGCGTCTCTTTCGGGATCGTGCTCTCTGGTCAATCCCTAGTCTTGACTAAGCCTCGACGCTCCGCCTTCCAGCCGCGCCAATCCCGTTAAATCAAAGGGTAGTTTGTGTAATTTGTGTAATTAATTCTCCATTCGGCTTTTGACTGCTCTAATTAAAACTTATAATGTAAATTATTTTAACATCAACTACGCGCGATACAAAAATGCTTGATTTAGGTTGTTTCTAAACATTTTCAAACCCTTCTTTCTGATTTTTGCGCTCTGTTAACAACCTGATTCTGTTATTCATAAAGTCGGCCCTGTAAATCGGGATAATCATTATTTACCTCTGTTCGAACTCCTTTGTCACCCAAATGTGTCAGCGATACATTGGCATCGACTCGCAGATGACCCTCTCAAGAATGCGCAATATTTATGACGGACTTCTGTAAATCTACAACATACTGTGCATTTCCCCTCTGCATATTTTATGATGCATCAGAAGAAGGCGAAGTTGTTGTACGAAGCACATTGCTTCTAAAGCTGTAGAAAAGTCCGGAGCAGTGACTACTTCCACAAGAGGAGTACCTAAAAAAAGTTTTGAATTCAAAAATCTCATGACATGTAAAAAATAATCTGAAGAGGGGGTTTCGTAACAGTCACAAGAAAAAATCAAAAACAGTACTGAAGGAATCATGCATGGCATGAGAAAGTGTACTGATATCAATGAAATATGTCGTAATTCTATGATTTTGTCAGAAATATTTCATTTCACAAGACTTTTAGAATGGTTTCCTACCTGCACGATTGAGATCAATCAAAGAAACAGGACCAAAATGGATGGATTTGCCACTATCCTGCTCCAACTGCAGTTGTATTATGCCAGCCTATGAAGAGCATGAGTCGCTGATAACTAGCATAGTTTCAAAATACAGTAATCTACCTCCTTTGTATACGATTGCACATCTTCGCTGTACACTGAGAAACAGAATTTCCCATTTTTAGCAATCGGTCTTTCACTTTGAGTTATTTGATACCTCAAGTAAAAGATCAGGCATTTTTCACTATTACGTAACGCCTACCCTTACCCGGCCGGCATATCAGCGTAAAAATAATGCTTGCGGTCGAAGCGACAACTGGGTGGTATTTCGCAGTTTAGCAGCAGTCCGAGTCGAAGTGCATGCTACAATAAGATGATTGCGTAATCCATATTTTCTTCAAGAAATTTGATTTGATCTTATTTATTATATTTTCGGCTTTCACGCGTACCACGCACGATTCGCGGTACGCTACAGAAAGAGTTTCTTTTATGCTCACTGAAGCTAGTAGTATAGGTCGTTTGTAAAATCGTGACTACGGATTTGACTGCAGTCTTTGCGGCAACAGGGCCAGAAAACACTCATATACAGGCATCACCTCAACTTTCAGCTCAGTTTCTTCTAATGTCCAAATACTGTCATATGTAGGCAGATCATTCGAGTGGAGATGAAACCCTAGAAAATGCGGTTGCCGGGAGATGCGTGCGTGTCGTGCGTAATCGCGCCGTCACGACTTTTCGAATGCCCTATACACTTTTTGTGCATCTTTTTTCGAAATCTTGAATAAGGTGACTTATCGCTCTAAGGTGGAACAATGTAATGTTCTTAGTTTTGTTTTGAGAGCCGAAATTTGAAGTTTTGAATTAGGTCCCAATATAACTGAACAGGGGGGGGGAGAGAATAGGGGGAGGATAAGCATAGCGAATTGCACTGTCTATGGTTTATATTTGGTCCTGAGTCAACTATTCGAAGGCTTTACCAGATCACGAGCACTGCGCCTCACTCCTCAGTCATAGATTACGCTCACACTCTAGTGTGCTACCGTAATCTGGTTGACGAGTGCCGCGTAGTGCCCGGTTGTCATCATGCAAATAGACCAATCACATTGCTAGAGTGCCTTTGCATTTCTTTTGCGTTTTAGACTCGTAACCATTTACTTTATAGGCAAGAACCTTAAAAGAATTTATTTAGGAATTGCGTGAGATACTCGCCTCCCTTATTCTGTTAAGCAGGAGCAGCAGTGTTAAAAAGTTCTGTAAATACATAGTAAAACGCTTTGCAAGTCTTCGCCACTTTCTCATAACTCTATTCCGCAAACAAGCAAACAACTCCAACTTTGGCTATAACTATTACTCCTCGTCATGCATACTATTATCCCTTCACGTCAAATCGACAATTCTTACCATCACGCAAGCTTTGTTGAGCACTGGCAAGGTCCCTGGAGTAGCCATGTCCAACACAGCCACATGTGTATTTGGTGCAACATCATCAGCTAGAGGAGCGGAGGAAAACAATTTGCTTCGAGTATTTAGTTGTACATGCACCTGCGATGAGAGCGCTCATTTAATGGGTCAGCTTTCTACTCCCACAAAATCACCTCCAACCCAATGATGGGTCGAAATTCCTCTCTAGAAAATGATGGTAACTGAGAAAGTCTCCGTTTCCATAGGATAAAGGGCAGGCGATACCTCATCTGCTATTCTGCCAAGTTCAACCTATCAAGTAGGTACAATCCAAAAGTACAAAAATCAGAGAAGAATAAGGAAATACCGTCTTACAATCAGAACTACATAGATCATAATTTATTTTATTAAATATAGAAACTCAGAACAAAACAAGTGCAACTCCTAGCACAGTAGACAATAACATAACATGCAACAGATGTCACTGTGTATGAAGGACATATATAGATCTTTGAAAAATCTGACAACCCAAACTCGAACCAGGCGAAAACGACTTAACAAGATTACAACACAAATAGCAACTTTTCAACAGGGAACGGATGACCCATATTTGAATAACAACATTTACTGGACTGTGAGAATGTTATTGAGTGGCTCCAGGGTGAGATCCCCGCTCTTTACAAGACGTCTAAGGGCCACTTGCACTTCATTAACCACCGATCTTGCCGCTCCTTCGACTGACTGCAGATATTTCTGCAAAGTAAGATCTTGATGTTGGCTTCACCTATAAGTTTTCAGAGCTATAAAGAAGGCTGCATTGGAAGGCGACGATGTTGCCTGTACAATAAAGGAGAACGACTTCCACAGGAGCACAACTTGTCTCAAAGCCTTGCGCGAAAGTATTGTAGGTTTCAGTCGCGCGAACATAAAGGAGGGAGGGAGGCGACGAATTAGAGTTCTTTATGAAAATTCAAACTTTTGAATCTCAAATAATTCATAATGTTCTAACTCAATTGAGGGAGCCCTTTTGCGAGTCTAAGATTCCTGACCAAACATAGCTTGACTAAGTCGACTGATATTCGCGCAAAACGAGAGAAAGCGCATTTCAGCGTCAAAACGTACATCAAATCCATCCTGCCCTTCCTGGAAGCGGAATGCATATACTAGAGCCAATTCAGAGGCAGAGCGAACTGCGGAGTTGCTTTCCTTCGCTCCATTGACAAGATGAGGAACTATGAGCTGAAAAAGTTATGAATGGGACATTTAAAAGTTCATAACGGAAATCCAACGAAATGATGCCTACCTTCAAAAGGTCATTCCCCAATTGGCTAGGAGTTTGGTGTAGTACATGTCCTAATATAACAGCAGCCACTCTTCGAACTTCAACGGCTTGATGACTCAAAGCACGGCCCACAGCGGAAAGAAGTTCTCGGTCAGGACTGAGACCCTCACTGAAAGTAGAGCGCTTAGAAAGCGAACGACTCAATCTGTGCAGCAAACCTAATCATAATGTATGCTGCAGCACGCAAAGCCGAACAGGCCACAGTAGAGTCTGCTGACAAGGCAGCTTGAATGGCTGCGCGACATCCAGCCTGAGCCTCCGACCAGACAGTAGCTGCATCAGACTGAAAAGACGACATAAAAAAAGAAACGGTAAGATTAGAAACGATGAGTTCACTTCTAACACTAAAATGAAGCAATGCTCATGAACAAAAGACACATACTTGGCACATCTGCTGCAGTGCGTACGCCATAGCTTGACGAACGCGTGGTTTTGAGCAGCTTTCAACATCTAGAAAAGGAGAGAACGGTGATATGCTCAACTTCTTGAAATTTCTACCTTTGAAGATGTTCTTCGACTGGAACTGGTTTGTCCTGACGGCAATTCCACCATAGAACGCGCCACTACACATCGTCAGCGAGGTATCCAACTCAGTTGGAGTATCCACGGGTACCTAAAAAAAGCAAACTCAACATTTTTGCGAGATTTCTCTGTGGAAGAACCGTATATTGCAGCTCGCACACTCGGTACCCTTCTTGAATGGTAGCATCCGACAATGGGGCAGTCAGTTTACCGATCAAAGCACGAGCAGCAACGAACGTCGTTTCACTAGAAAAAACGAAGCTCGATCAGAGCAGCGCGATGCAGAAACATGGCGAAAATGACGGCAGTTTCAAAAAGTTGTGGAGACTCACAGAAGAGACTGATCCTGTGAGTGGGCTAATAACTTCAGAATTTCACAGACCAGCGGCTCCGGTTTCATATGAATTCGTAACAAACGCGAAAGAGCCCCTACAGAATACCGTAGAGTAAGAAAAGAGAGGTTGAATTACGAGGGATTACTTACCACCGGCCGCAAGTCGAACTTGTCGCGATGATGGTTCTTGCAGTGCTTTCAAGAATGTAGATTGAAGCTGGGGAAGGAAAGGACGGAGTAACGTATCAACCTGCAAATCCACTTGAATCTATCTGAAAAACGAAGCGTATCAGGGGACGCACCTTATCCAGCAATTTACTCAACGCATCCAGAACAGCCAGTTTAACACTGGCTGGGTAGCGATCACCCAGCACTCGAACAAGCGGACCAGTGATGTTAACAACATGCGGTTTGAGTGCCGCTGGATCCGAAACGGAAATCACCATTCCAAGAGCTTCTCCAGCCAAAGCCTTCAGTTCGACACCACCTGAATTCAAAATGTTTCCATCGCTAGAGACTTATGGCATGAAAACGAAAATCGTAAATACAACAGAACTTAGCTACCTTGCAAAATAGACTCCCTCAGCATGGGAAGTAGAGGTTGCAGGGCCTTTGGATGAGCAAATCCAGAGATATCGCGACCTCTTGATTGAGCTACCATGTAGTTTAGAGCTTTCTTGACTATCGGGATAGTCTCCTGTGATAGCGCGCTTGAAACTTGGATTAGCTAAAATTATTAATCAGAACCTTACCTGCATTTCCTTTTGATCCAAAGCCTGAGCCACACCTATGGCAGAGTTCACAGCATGGTCGATGATTTGTGCATTTGTTGATGTGTACAAGTTTAGCAATCCAGGAAGCAAATCTCCCACAAGATAATTGAGATTCACCTACGAGAAAATGGAGTAAGTCAATTGTTAGGCGGAAACGTACTAGCGCAGCACTTACTCCACTCTTGGAAACGAAAGTGTGAAGCAATACTATGGCAGGTACATTCCCTTTACTAGCTTGCTTGAGTAGATAGTCTACGAGCACTGGTACTCCTTCATCGTCAGTCACCGCTATTACGACTTTCTCACAGCTGTCAATCATCTGAATGGCAATTTCAATTTGTTAAGGTACATCCAGGAATAGAAACATTTTGCCGAAAACTTACCGGATCATACTGGTCATTTGTTTCACAAGCTGAGAGCAACGCATCCAAAACACGGGATAACTGCCGCGAAAGGGAACCACCTTAAACTAGTATTTTTCCACGATAAACACACAAACTAAGAAAAGCACCTGCTACGGAAGCCAAGCTACAGAGTGCATGCACGTTGATTGGTGGACGGGTAAGGCGTGGCAACAAATAAGGTAGCATTTGCCTCAAATGTAATGCTCAATTTTAGATACCAAAAAGATCTCCAAACTATTCTTACAACAAATTTATTCAGCACATACCTACTGTTCTGCTTCATGATTTCACATAATCCAGCCAAGACATCTTCCTTTTCAGGTGTTAGCTTCTCAAGTAGAGGCGTGATGATTTCATCCAGTGCTTCGTGACCGACCATCTGAATGTGAATATAATGCTTGGAATGCTATAATCGACGGCGCTACAAAATTTTTGAACTTTCACCTGGTACAACACTGAGAAGGTGTCGGCAGCCGCTGATCGTACCACTGGCGAAGAATCGCAAATGCCATTGCGAACTGGTGTCACCAAACTCTCTAGGTAATGACTAAGAACATCCTGAAAAAGATAACATCACAATTTGACAACTTCATCAAGAAATCATTCGTTACCTTTGTGGTATTATCCATGATTTCATGCAGTGCGACAGCTACCCCTACTCGTTTCTCAAGATCTTCAGATTTTTGGTTCATTTCCAGCACGGGTAGAACCTATATATCGCTCAACAAAATCAGAAACCAGCACTATTACGCAACAGCAATTACCTCGTTAATGATCTTGTCACCCATCTTCCTCACTAATTCACCCAAACATCTTGCACCCATCTGTTGCCTTTCCTCACATGGAGATGCAACGGAATCAACCACCTAAATATCCTGTCCTCTTAGTTTGTCCTTAAAGCATCCGAAGCAGATACTAACCATCTCAAACAACACTTTCATGATTTCTTTGAGTGTTCGTGGCGTATTAGCAACAACGATCTTCCAAACATGACCAGCGGCTTGCCGGACTACAAGTGCCACATCGGATCTAGAAGCAAACAGATAAAAAGAAAAAAACAACTAGGATGTTCCAGTTTTTACCTCGCCAGATAAAGTCCAGCCAGAACGTGATCGCGACACTGTTGACCCAGCGCACGTACAATGCTCTTGCCAGCTTGTTCCATGCCCATAGTATCGTCTTCATTTGCTGTGGATGTAGTACTTTTACCAGAAACTCCTGTAAAAAAATTTTCGAAGCTTCATACAATTCCACAACAGCATGAGAAATCAGATGAAAAAGCTGTCAACCACTTACCCGATATATTGAACAAGAAGTCTCCGATAAGAGTGACTGCTGCATGCCTGATTCTCCAGTTCTCATCGTACAGAGCCATCTGTAGCTGAGGCAGAAGCAAACGACGAGCATGTGAGCAGTACTGAGCAATAAGACGTTGACCTGCTTTGAGTGCAGACGCTCGCACGTATCTGTAAAAATGTTGTGAAGGTGAGAGTATCGCAAATCCTATTTGTGAGATACTAACTCATTCTCATCGGCCAATGCTTTGAGGATGGGCGGTACAATTTGGGGTAGATACGGTAAGAATTTTTCTCCAAAGACCATGGGCAGATAGATGTACATGAGAATATAACCATCGCGTGTTTCGGCGCTGACCTGCAAAATTATTCTTTTAAAAGTGGAGCTGTACAGAAAAGTATCAAAGATAACCTCTGGACTCTCAGTCGCTGCGATAATCTCAGGCATGACAAACTCGAGTTGCTCTGAACCAATGCCAGCAAGCACTTCCGAAAGACCTTGTGCAGCACCGGAACGATCCACAGTTGACACCGGAGACACCTAAAATCTTCAGAATGTACAAGCGAACGTCCCACTTCTCAAAATAGACATACCAGTTTCTCTTTCAGCCATGGCACAATGCTCTCGCGCAGCCTATCGCTAGTTGTGCCAGTCGACCTCGCCACGATTGCTCCAAGGGCTCGAGCAGCAACTGTACGAATCTCTGGCACAGGATCCAAAAGCGACTTTTGCAACCCAGGTACCAGATCACACAGGTATGGCTCCATGTCCTAAACCAGCACTACTCAAAACAGTGAGGGGACTCAATTGGCACTTACCTTATTTTCAGTCAAGGAGTATATGCTCGCTATAATTTGCGCTGCAACTTTTCTGGTCTCACTGTTCCTGTCCTCGAATGCTCGTCGAACTATCGGCATTATAAGAGCTAGTGAAGGCGCATCGATGTAATGAATGAATTTGGTGTTGAGAACGGCCTCAATCACAGAAAAATTGTCAAAGCATCATAAGCTGAGCAAAGAGACATACCTGTAGGGCATAATTAGTTTTGCTGGCAGGATCGAGAAGTCCGGACATCAGCTGATTGCTAACTCCTAGGATTTCAGGGTTCCTTATGACACTAGCAATTTGTCTTAATGCTTTTTCACCACTTCGTTGAACCTAAACACTTTAATCAAAGCACTTTATCAAATGATTGACTTATTAGAAAGTTATGTAGACCAGGGGCGGTATGTATCGACCGCCCGTCCCGGTAAGGGTTCCCATTCTGGTAGTATCCGCTTCAAAGCTCGGTGCTCTGGGGATCTGGGTCCGTCCTTATTTGTCCATCTTTTAGAGGCCCTACTACCCTAACAATGTAACATAATGAATGGCAGCACTTTGCTGTATAAGCTGAGATTTTCGGTATTTTGCAGAATACCGAACAGGATCCCCAAGGGATCGCGGCCCATTTTCAAAATCATTTCTTTTTGCAAAAACTTAATGGAAACGTAGTAAAGTTGTGCCGAGGACTTATTATGACAGTGCTAAGCATGTTTTCAGTAGCACAGATGAAATGTGGAAATTTTGAGTTTTTCGATAAATCCCAACTCGCGAGCAGAGGTTCATTGAGATTTCCTCAACTTGAGTTCTCGCTTGTTACTTCCACAAAAATGTTCAGCACTGTCATAATAGATCAACAGCATAACCTCGAAGTTTCGTTAAGTTGTTGCAAAGAAAAATGACTTTAAAAATGAGCCGTGATTCTCTGAGGATACCGTTCGGGATCATATAAAATACTGAATCAGCTTATACAGCAAAGTGCTGCTATACATTATGCTACATTTACTAGGGTAATAGGGCTCCAAAAGATGGATAAACAAGGAAGAACACAGATCCCCAAAGCACCGAGATATGAAGCGGATTCTACCTGAATGGGAACCCTTACCCGGATGGGCGATTGATACATCCGCCCCAGACTGAAACTATGAATGAAACGACCTAAATTTGCCAGTTCTGACACACCTTGGATGATGAATCAGCCAAGACCTCAATAAGCTTGGGGACGATGTTCGGTAAGCATGCCGACAACTGCCTCGGTGCACAGAAGGCCATCGAACCAAGTAGTTCAGCCTATAAAAAGATGTGCTATCTCATGTTCATCAATCTCGCCTTCAAAACCTTACCGCCGCGCACTTCGTTCGCCAAGACTCGTCATCCAGCGCCGTAAGCAGCGAAGGTAACACAAGCTTTGTCCCATGGGGTGACATCGATGACATCATTGCCACAGCAGTATCCTGAGTAAAAAGGGATGAGCATCAATAAAAGATGAAAAAACAAGGATGTCACACCTCAGCTGCTTTCCTGACATTCTCATCACTATCTCCAAAACATAGCAGAAGAGAAGGCAGCGTCTGGATCATGTACGGCTCAAACAGCTTTCCCACAGTACTGAAACGAATAACCTAGTTGACAAGACTCCAAGTGAAACTGAACTTGAGGCACATACCTACACAGGATCTCTAGTGCTAGCAGTCCACCCTCCCGATGCTTAACGTTCTTCTTCTCGAGAAGCGCCTTGTGAATGGCTGGCAGAAGCTCTAATTCCTGAATAGAGTAATTACACCATACATAAGATGACTAAACCATACACAACAAAGCAAATTCAAGTTCTTGCCCTTGATGGACCGGACGTACTGCTGACGAAAACGGAGTAACACATGGCAATTCAGACCATACCTTGAGTGAAGCCACTCCCATTCCTTTGACAATTCCGCCAATACCATAAGCAGCTCCTCTTCGTTCACCATAAGACTCAGCTTCGAACAACAGCCATTGCAGTTTTTGTACCAACGATTTCACCGTATCCTTGATTGCAGGCACCAGCGGCGATAGACAACGCGATACTGATTCTTGAACCTTGAATAGTTCGAAAACTGTTATGGAGAATGTAGGGAAGGGCCAAAACCTACCGCTTGGCTAGGAGTCGACAGCGCTTCCATAAGTCGTGCCACGATGGCTCGCACCTTATCAGAAGATGGATCCAAGTATTGAGCCAAAGTTCCGAGTAGTACAACAAGCCCTTGTCGTAGATTATCGTGCTCGCCTCCACTTGGAGTAGCATCGGAAAGATTCTCTGGAATTAGACTATACTTTTCATGTCGCAGATCTGGAAAGGCATACCCAAAAATGGCAGCAATTCAGGCATTATGTCCTTTCCGTGTTTGCGAATAACTTCCACGGCTGCGTTACGCATTCCATTACGACACTCTGCGCTGCGGTCGGCTAGTCCATGAGGAGCAATCTACATTTTTGCATTGCAAGTAGAAGCTTTCATTGCGAATATGATAAGTTGTTGATTTTACTATGAAATGAAAAAAAAAACGAGACAAGGTGAAGTTTTCAAAACAGAGGAGCCACTCACAAGCTTGATAAATCGCATTGCATCGTCCACTTTCACATGCTCAGCTAATCGCCCCAGTACAAGCCCAACTCCGCTACGTTTGGCCCACTCGTCTCTGCTTTCCATGACCATTCTTCCAACTTCATCATACACTGCAGGACGTACTTGTGCCAAGTCTGTATACACCTGAAAGTCGTGCTACTGACATCATTTGTTTCCTTAATTATATAAAAGCGAACGTCATCAAGTTTATTCAGAAGAGCAGGCATACTGGTGGCGATCTCTTGAACGAAAGCTGCAGTTGCATTGGCAGCTGACTCACGAACAAAACCAACATCAGACACACATTTATCTTAAAAAAAGACATAGTACAAAGAAAAGTTGGAGGCTTAAAAACTGCTTACCGATGAGCGGTTCAGCCATTTCCGGTCTCAGATGGAACGACGAGTTGTACCACAACTTTTCAGCCTTGTCGGCAACAGCTTCGAAAGAGTCAAAGCGGGCGACAAAGATTCGAACAAGACATTCTATGGGGAAATCCGGATCTTCAGAAGAAAGGACAAGACGAGTGAGGAGATTTGGCGCTGATAGTACCTAAACTAATCTAGCCACTGGTAGAATAAAGTTATTCTGTAGTCAAAAAAAAGAGTACATATTCAAGTGAAGCACTAGTGACAAAGACTGGGCTCGAAAGAAAAGAGTATTGAAACATTTTTCTTAAACTTGTGAAGCACAAAATATGCTCACATTTAGTACTGTTTCCCTGACATCGCAGCTTTCATCATCCAGATATTTCAGAGCGCCTCTAGCCAAACTGACAACTCGCGGTCCGGTATCTTCCGTATCGTTGGCAAGAGAGGCCAAGTTGATCAGAGCCTGTATTTATATTACTTTATATGGCACAAAATCGCTGCTAATAAACAAAAACCGATTTTTCAACAGACTGAGAAATGTGTTTTTTACCTGCTTGGAGGGAGCAGTTAGACTCCTTGCATACTCTGTTAATAAAAGCGTGGCATATTCATTCATGGGAAGTTGCAGCACAGATCCATCCTGAAAGCTGCGCATATGGAACATCAACCCTCGAGCCCAGGACATGCTCACCTTCAAAAATCGCTTATGTATGGCGTTCTGAAGAAGGGTTAATGTCGCGTCCCTGATACTTTCAGAGTAGCCATTCGAAGGATCGAGAAGTAGACGAATCATTGGATACAGAAGGGTTAACTGAGTCGCTCCAACAATGTCTTCGAAAACAAACGAATCTTCCTGAAACACATGAATGTAGCAGAAGGTGGAAGATAATATTACTGAAACGGACTCAGAACAAAAAGAATTAGTTGCTAACATCATCACCAGTCTCTACCACAAAAGCGCGTTCATTGAGCACTTGTAGGCTACGATCCAGAGCTGATGATAGAGGTTCCTCTGACCAATTCGGAACACGCCAGTGTGAGCCGATAACACGCAACATAGTGCTGCCGAGCAGTTCATCTACAGAAAATGATTTGACACATAAAGGACCAGAAAACTAGCAAGTGTACCTGAGTAATCTTCCAAATGCGGAAAAGCAATATCTCTATAGGCAAGAAACAGCTTCGCTGCATTCTTGCTCACCAAATGGCTTCGAGTCAATGGAATGCAGAAATTGAAAAGAAGCTCAGGTCTGGAACACGTGTAATCAGAGGGATATAACTGAAAGGATCATTACTTCTTTCATTCCAGGGATCTAGCAACAAAACTCAAAATAGATCTACCTAGCAAATGCTCCTTGGTTATCTGCAGCGACCATCGCTCTAGCTTCATCTAGCTTAGCCTCAGCTGTGTCGTACATATGACGCATTTCGTTTCGGATCTCCTAAAAACTAAACTTACAAAGAAATATTTGCGCAAATGCACCACCTTCTCTTTTGCTAGTTCCTTCTCCATAACTTGCTTCTGCGCAGCAGTTAGCTTGCCCTCCTTGCGCTTCTTCTCTGCTAACTCTCTTCTGAGATGCATTTCAGCTAACTGCTCTCGAAAGCTGTATGCCTTGTTTTCACGCTTCATATTATAGCTGATTTCACCTTCATCGCTGCAAAAGATAACTCAAGGAAGATAGGAAAAATTGAAAAATGAACCCACAAGTCAAGCACTTCAGTGTTGTACAGATGCCCTTCCTGACACTGGAAAATCGCTACATGCTTTTCTGGGATCCTTATATACTCGTTAACATCCAGTTCATTGACACTATTTTCAATGTGGGCCCACAACGCGTCTCGAACAGAAGGGACATTCAACGCTACTAAAGTGATCAGCGCATTGTCCCTGAAAAACAAACAAAAAAAATCTCAGTGATACCTAACACACTATATAAAGCAAACGTACCGTACTTTACGGTCTGGACATTGCAACACCCGATCAATTGCTGTTTTTCTAAACACATCACTTTCTTTCCAGCGGTTGCTGTCTGCCTGGCTATGAACCCATCTCAGCCACACTGAGCCATCAACTTCGACTAAAAATCACGCTGTTGAGGTTGGACGAGAAACTGACAAATGCTCTGACCTAGCCTGGGCAAAGACGCAAGGAGAAGGGTATGAATGGCAAGCTTTTCAAGTTCAGGTCCTTTGGGTGTGAGAAGCAAACGGACAGCCTAGGGTGTTGAAATAGTTCCCAAAAAACGATGACAACAATCCAAACCCAGAGACGCTGACTTACCTGAACGTACCATTCCCCCGGAACTGTGAATGTAGATGGATCTGGATGACTACTTCGTACTTTTTTAAGGGTCTGTAAAGCAGTTCTACAGTTTAAAAAGACAATCAGAAGGTAAGCTTACCTGATCAACAAATCCGCTGACAGTTTCGAGAAATATGACGTCAGCAAGAGCCTCAGCAAAATAAGACTCTTCGATTACCAAAATTCTTTCTACAGCTAATGACGCCCTTTTCCTCACTTGCCAATCAGGCCAAAACAAAAGAAGCGTCATTGATTTTAGCAAGAAAGGAGGATAAGAACCAGGCTAAAGAGATCGATCGTTTTTTCACAGAATAAGACTAACCTATCAAACAGCCACACTTACCGTGTCTGAAAACGGCCTTTCCAATATGGATTTCTCCAACAAATCGATCCAAGCGATGGCATCGTCAGTGCATATTGAACCCAGTGGCTTGTCCTGAATGTGGTAGAGAGCTATGAAACGAAAGCATTAAGAACAGACTGACCTTCAAGATACTGTCGTATTTCGTGATTTTGCTCCAAACTTTCGTATGGTTCGGGGTCCCAGATTCACAGCTTTTGAGCAACAAAGACGCCAGTGAGATAAACTGTAGAGGTTCTTTCACAGAAGCGTCGAGTTCTTGCCAAAGCTGCTTTTCTGACTCAGCTGGCAACGATTTCATGTCCCCTGAACAAGGCTCTTAATACCACATAGAATTAAGGAAAACACGACTCACGGCTAGTGAAAATATTCGCCAATGATCTGTATCCAATATGACGAACAGGAACAGGCAGTTGCGGCGCATTCTATGTAAGTGAATGATGAGCACTTGCAAAGGGAAGAAACTTGTGATAACCTTGAAAGCAGAAATCAGTGCTGGTGAGTTGTTGTTTAACCTCCTAGCCCAGATGGTCGAAGCCTTCCATTGCGCGGCCACTACATTCTCATGGGCTAAAATACTCGGATCAAGAGTTTAAGGATATTCGACCCCACACAACTTCGCTTACCCTCCTTATCCGGCACAGTCAACTTAGAAACGATGTTAGCTGCAATTTTTTCCAATGCATCCGGATTGGCGATTTTAGCTTTGGCGCATTTCGCCACACCATCCAAGAAAGCAACGCGCTGCTCGGAAGTTTTGGCAGCTGTAAAGCAAAAGTTGTACTAGCTAGAAGCTTTGTAGTATGAAAAAGTGCTCAAGCTATGTATGTATGCAAGGAGCAGCGCCCTTCGCACAATCTAGATCAAGAATAAATCTTGCATCTACAAGATCGATGATAGCTCTATAAGGGTAAGTGAAAAAATCTCAAAAAGACTTCAAAGAAGAGACGTCTTGAAAAGAAAATCAAACGAACCAGACAATTGCTCAAGCAAATAGTTCACGATTTTCTCGACAACAGGAGCTTCCGCAAGATTGGCAATTGCAACAATCCCATCTATAGCGGCATCCCTCAACTCATCGGAAGATGAACTCAGAAGAGCTGAAACAACTGGTCAGCCACGTAGTTTGAATTAGTGGCATACCTCCTAATCCCTTGATCAAATCGTTGGAGTACTTATCGAGTGGAAACGCTACTGATTTCAGTATTTTTACAACGCCTAAACATGAAAGTTTTATGTGGCAAGCAGAAAATATAGGAAACCCCAAATGAGTGAACTCACCAAAGATAGCGACTTCCGGACTTCTGAGCAATGCCTTTTTCATGTTAGGCAAAAGTGTATCGGAAAATGTTGATTCAGAAATTTGACCAAGGGCATCCTCACAACTGTCCTGTACATCATCATTACGTATGGGGAATTTTGGAAAAGAACATATGTTAGATTCAGAACTCACAATGACAAACTGCTCAGCACGTACTTTCGGAAGCAACACCGATTTAGAGAAAACATCTAGGAAAAGTGCATGATCTAAGCCATCACAAACCTACAAAAATTTAATCATAGATAGCCTGCTCTTGCATTAACACCAATCAGGACTTACCGTGGAAAGCATCGACATCAGACACGTGATCTTCTTTGCAGAAGAAGCATCTTTACTGACTTCATCTATACCCTGACAAATCCTTTTCGCCAGCTCTTTGTTGCGACAAGCCAACATCAACTTCTTTTTGATTATTTTAGAAGCTTTCGGGCTGGCGCAGCAGTAGAAAGACAGGTTACCCAAGGCGGAGGTCTAAATTACTAGGAAAATGCAAGCGAGAAATTTCGATTTTTCAGTGGAAAGTAGATAAATATAAAGAAGTCACAAGAAAGGCAAGAGAGCGACTCACAATTTCCGGCATGACAGCATCAGGTACCCGTGGGATCAATTGCAAGAGCCACTTCGCCGGAGGGATTGCAACACATCCAATGCTGTCACTGTAAAACAACCGTAAAGCTAAACATGTAAAATTTCTCCTTCAGATCTGAACAACTGCAAGAATTTTATAATTTAGCAGCCTGTATAAGGAGGTCTGTGGATTCATTATGCTATATCTTCGAAAAACAATACCTGATATTCGAGACCAGTGGAAAGAGTGTTTGAACACTCTGAGCCAATGATCTCGCAGTTGCCCCAGACTCATGTTTAGCTAAGGCATTCAACAGATTCTCTACAGCCTGAAGCAAAAGTTTAACTTTGGTCTTATTATCTATAAGAACTTACCTTAAAACTCTGCTTGTGTGAGTAACGGAAGACACAAGCCGCGGTGACAATTTTTACAATCCCTTTGATAAATGGCTCCGGAAGTGCTGCAAACAGTGGGTAAAAAAACGAATGAGACGACCGAAAGAAGATTACAAACTTTCGATCTGTTTGACTACTTTGCAAAGCGAGGAGTACGCTTGTAGCTGAAGGCGCACACTCGGATTCGCGACGATCGTGGTGAACTTGCGCACTTCTTCCTTGAGCAAATCGACCTGGAAAAGGTCAGAAAATGATTGTGATATTTTGTAAGCACATTTCCCTGCGCTGTGCTGAGTGAGAATAGGGCAAGATATAGTGTCCCTTATGCAACGCAACATTATCAACTTTTCAGAAATCTGCGAACCGCGCCTGACCGACTAGAGCTAAAGCAAGTTATCCGTTTCAACCATTTCATCTGGCTCACCTCATCTGCAACTGGTGACTTAAATTTCACCAATATCAGATAGGTGAACTTGATGAAACGGATAAGTATGGCGCCTAACTAAGGTAAAAGTCGGAATGCATTTCAAGCGCTCCACAATGAGAGCACCAACCATGATTGGCTTCTACTCATCTACTCCAAATGTCAAGTGTCAGCACTAACGCTGTATCCATGTACGCCTCATTTCAGTCTCGAGTCAAATAAATTATATTTTCTAAGTTCTCGTCGCTATCACCAAAAGCACGCCCACCTAGATCTGAGGTTTGTGGAATTTTAATGGTACAACAGCGCTTTCAACTAAGCAACTGCCCAGTCGCGCTGCAAACAATGATGTTCGAAGCAAAATGTGGCCCCAAAAACTCGGTGCAACAAAGATCCCCGTCGATGAGAGCGTGTGAAGTTTAGGTTGGAAACGGGGCTCGAAGCACGTGAACACATCTTTATTCCACACTATCGTAACGAAAGGCGATCGATATTTCTAAGTTCTTTAAACTCGATTTTTGGTCTCAACACCTTCAAACCATTCATGGCTGGTAATGGGCTTGCGGTTCTGCCGCATTCACTTCCAGGTTTTCTGCTTTGGACATCACATTGGCAAACGGAACTTGGGCAATCACTTGGGGGCCTCGCAACTGCTCGCATTCAAATGTCAAAAACCTCAGAGAGGTGCATTCGTATTGCTTCTGCACCAAAGTTTTGGTATAAAAGGACCTATTCTGATTGCTACGCTTACTCCCAAGGCGGTGCAAAGGTGCAAGGAGCATGCGAACCGGTCTCACCTATTGGGAGAATGCTTGAACACATCATACTTGGTACCTAGCCGTTATGCTTGTTGGGTTTGCTGATTCGGATGGATTTAAGGTGGAGAAGAATAAAAGATCAGATGCCGAGACATTATGCGAATTTAACACAAATGGAAAAAACGGCTACGGCAGTAACCTGTGACTAGGTAGGCGTAACTTACTTGCACAAATTAGTTGATCGAAAAAAAACGAAGGCATCTTCTAGAACTGAAGAAAAACAATCGAAAGATAACTAACCTCATTTTTCTCCACTGGTGCCTCAGATTGGTCCACATGATTCTCTTTATTTTCGTCAATGTGCTGTTCACCGTTTACCATTGCCATGTTGAAGTCTGAAACTAGATGTTATCAATTTGCAATATAGTGGAACATGCATTTCCAGGACTGAATGGAAAAAATGGAAAGCATGCAGGAGCGAACGTTCTGATAATTTCCAGAACTGCAGAATCCCTATAGAATGCGATCTACTCCAGGATATCGACCGAACAGAAGCGGACTGAACTTAACTCTCGACTGGTGAATTATCAAGTTAAGTTTGCAAGAAATGAGTCGCTGTGCGCAGTTTGAGAGCTGAGCTGTACGACATTAAACCCCTGCTGGAGATTCCCAAATCTGCAGGCGGTGCCGCTTCAAAGTCGCGCTGTCAATGGAGCAAATTTACTGATGTGGAAAGAGAGTGGGGGACCGTCGGATACATTCTTCTTGTATCAGTACTCAGTAAGAACTCGACGATATAAGATCACTCCAAACAAGCCTGAACTGTCAGCCAACATAAGAAAGCTCTTTGGACGCTAAAACATCGCTCAAAACAGAGAAACTTCAATCTCTCCCCGTGGGTTTCTCTAAAACAGGTGAAGCCTGCCTAACAAATATCACTACAGAAATTTACACCAAGCACGAAAAATCGCACAACAAAATATTACTCGTCAGTAGATTTGACGGTGCATATTATGCAGCTGCTCTGCCGACAACATTTGCGCGACAGCTAATGACCATGGGGCGCAGAAATGTGTGCCCTATAGCCATTTTACATATCATCGGCTTCCATGTTCGTGTGAAGGCGGGTTGGGAAGTTTCCTGAATTTCACTCTCTCGTTAGGTTTATCCTTATAATCAGGGAAGTCCGCAACCCGTCTCCATACGAATTTGGGAGCCGGTTATACGCGCAAAATGTCCACAAGCCAATCAGTTGATCAGTTTGTTTACGCGCGTACGGTGTCAGCAGTGCGGTGGCACCCTGCTGCCGTCCGATCTGCCTTCACTGCCTTTGGCTCCTCCTGAGAAGTTTATTTGAAGCAGTCGACCAGATTCCCCTTCCTCCTCAACAAAAAAAGAAGAAACGGAAGACCGGAAATGAGATGTAAGCTGAGGTATCGCCTTCTGAAAGCATAGCGGTCAAAGCTTTGGACGTTCGCCTGAGGATAAATTTGTAACCCTCTGCTGGGCTATGGGTGTAACTCTTGCCATCGAGAACCGCGTACTGCCACTCTCCGAACGCTCATCGCTGGGAATGAATCCTGCCCTATAGAAATTGTTCTGGAAAGAGAAGGGGAGGGAATGGTAATAAGATTGCTTGCTCGGCAATCTAAATCTGTACTCTTCTTGTTTTGGAGTTCACTACCTGGAGTAAAACCAAGCTTTTTCCTCATTGAAGCTCTCACAGTGGTAAAAAGGTATCGGGACCACACGCCATGAAAAAAAAACACAAAAGTCTATGGCTCGTCGAGCTACTGCTTCCCGAAAAACCTCGACCCATAAAGAAAAGACTGGACAAATGTTCTGATTTTTCCTAAATCCATTCCTTCATATGGAAGCAGACTGCAAGACCTAATGCTAGTTCTTGATGTGTCTTTTAAATTTTCCTCATCTATCGTGTTTCCAGCACCGATGGCTGCACTGCTCCTCAATTTCTGAGCAGGAACTTTATGCACCGATACAAAAGTATGAGAGGTTCATGATGAAATTTGTGTATTTTTCAGAATTTGTTGCGATTGAGAATGTTGCTTGACGACCGACATCACTGTCGTAAGTGTATAGGTGATTCGCACGCACAGACTGGACGCTGCTGCGTACGACTAATTGTAAGATAGTTCTTGGGTGGGAGAGGCAGCAGACGGCAAGAGCGATGAAAGAACGCTCGATCAGCCAGACAGCGACAGCATCCGCAATGACGTGCTCTTCTTTCGCTGCTCTACATGCACAAATAGCTTTTAAAGGCACCGTCCACCCAAAATGGAGGTTGGCGAGATTATGATGGCATACTAGTGTGGGCCCTCGGACCCCCGCCCACTTGCATGCTTTATCTCGCCTGCACTTGTTGCAGAGGGTTCTCGAAACAGGGATTTTTGAGGGTTTCGCGAATTTTCGACTCCATATTCGGAATCAGGGCTTTCAGAAGGCCTGAAGGCGACAAAACATTGAATTCGAGTTGGGTGGACCGCCGGGGGCGCCCCGCCCACTTTGTTACTTCCGGAGCGGATTTCTCGCTTCAGAAGCAGTCTTTTGCGGCGAAGCTTGGAGGTTTGTCTAGTATGAGGGCCCACACTAGTATGCCATCATAATCTCGCCAACCTCCATTTTGGGTGGACGGTGCCTTTAAGTTCCTGTTTCCATTAAATCTGATCAAATTTTGAACATCATTGCCAATCCATGTTATGCGAGCAACGAAGAGTCTTGGTCTCTACTCTCTAGAAACTTCCTTTTTAACGACTGGGGCACGATCTTATTAAATTAAATCAAGTGGTCGTGACTTTAGCACCCATGATTTCACATCTGACATTTTTTGTATGTATGATGGGAAATGCTGCATCCTTTCATTTCTATAAAAAATGAACGGGCAGACAGAAACAAAGAGTAGTTAGGATCGTCATCGCAAACTGTAGCAATGTGGCTAATTACTATAAATTTTCTACCTCCATATAATGTACGAAAATTCTCAAACAACTTTCACATTACATAGTCTGTACAAATTCCATGGGTAGATAATGGGTAGATATGTAAAGCATAAAAGTAATACATTGTGGAGGAAATATTATCAATACGCCCTGCACGCAAAAAATGGATGTAAGTACGATCACTACAAAAAAACTAATTGTCTCTACATCCATTTATTATCTTTATCAAGTGGCCTTTCGTTCTCGGATAATATGAAGAATCAAAAACCAGGAGGGCCACTGCAGAGACATGTCCTCCTGCAGAAAAGAAACATTGTTGGTCGATGTGATGTGCACAACCCTGCAACTGCCCACTCTGCGCATAAAGCTCCCTTATCGTCAACTTCCACCTTGCAGTCGAATTGGTAGGGCTTCCCTGCAAATGTTTAACTTTGTAGTCATGAGGATATAGCGTGAATTAGAAAAAAGTTACATTTTTCTGTTGTTGTAGGCAAAGCAGCAGTTTGTGTAGATAAAATCTCCCCATTTGGGCGGTAATCAATCCTCTTGATGAAGTCGCTGTTGGAAAAGAGGGAGTCTGAAAAATGATTGAGATAAATGGCCGATATGAAAGTAGAGACGCAAAAACGCCGAAGTTAAGAGTAGCATGCGCCTTACCTTTAGCGCCACTAGGTTCGGGCAAGTCGGATCGTTGTTCGCTTATGCTTCCCAAATCGCCCGGTGGAATTGTAGCTTTTAAGAAATCTGAAAATTTGTCAATGTTTTCCTTTCAATGTAACAGAGGAATGCTCATGAGCAGGAGTTTTTTGTCGGATTCCTAAGTTCTGTTTTGTAGGATTGTATTAGGTGCAAAATTTCATAGGTTCTCTGGTGGATAGCTATATTTTTTCCCATTATATGCCCTTTGCGATGTTATTCAATGGTTTTCGAGCGACCGCACAGTAATGCTATTTGCCCAATTCTCAAAATCTTTTTTCCTAGCATTCTGAAAAAAGCTCTTATAGCTGACAAATAATAACTCTTGTGCTCGGTTGTTTCCGACCTATATGATGTGAATTTTGAGAATTATTTATTCCAGAAACACCAAAGTTTTTTGAATTCATGCAGGCGGGGGTGCACCAAAAAATTGCAAAAAGCTGAATTTTTGAGAAACTCGAGTTGTTGAACTCGGGTCGGCACATGTTTTGCGTGATTCACTGATCAAGCTATTATAGATCGCGAATTTTAGAAGATTTCATTTTTGATTTTATTAATATCTCATTTAAAAATCGTATACAAGGAAACAGTTATGTCTCCAAACAGGTTAATCGAAGAATTTAGGACAATCTTTATTCTCCTAATATGAGTTCCTCTTCAAACGTTCAGAAAACCAACGCCATGATTTCGAATTACAACGGAGTTCAAGCAGGTAGTAGAAATGACAGTTGAAGAACTTTTCGATATGTGCAGCACTCGGAAGATTTTCTTTTGCATGACCACTGCAAAGCGAAGGAAAATCTATTCAAAAACGTGTTTCTTTGGGTCGTTATTTTGGACCCTTTTTTTTGATAAAAGACCAAAACCACAAAAAGCTCCTGAAACTGCCTAACAAACGCACAGAAGTTTACTATCTCACATCAGGTTGATCAACATCCACTACGGGTAGAAAGCAACATAATTTTTCAACTTCCAAATACATAAGTTCGCCCTAATGAATCCTTTCGCTTTTCAGATTGGCTTACATACAAAGATTGGCCTGATTTCATCTGCAAGCTCAAATTCGATTATAATCTAGAAGCTACTCACCCTCTTCTTCTTGTAAGCTGAACTCCATAGTCTTTGCTTCTGGCTCTTTCAGCGTTTTTTCTACCATTTCCGCGAAACTTCCGCTGAGAATGGGCTCGTCAGCGCTGGCAACTTCTTCTTCGGTTGGAAAATGTAGAACTTCTAGCGGAGCAGTTGTCCGTTCGCCTGGCGCCGTCACGTACATTGCCTCTGTTGTTGTGGTCATGGCATGTGTGGTAACCCTTGTGTTTCTCATCTTCGTTGACTCTGGTTGGTCTTCAGACTTAGCTCTGCCTTCGTTGAAAGCTTTTTCTTCGGGAGTAAGACTCTCTAATTCCGGTGCAGCTTGTGGGGAAGCAGCAGAAACGCTCCGCTCTAACTTCAGTTCTGATTTTGGTCTCATTTTGATTTTCCAAGGGTTTTTATGCAACGCAGAATCCTTAACTGTATCATCCGTGTACGAACTGGATTTCGAGTGTTTACGCTGGCTTTTTCTCTTCCGGGTGATTGTAATATTTAGAGGAAGTGGATGGGGAAGTGGTAAGTTTAGAATAAGCGGTTTGTTAATTGGTTGAGGCTCATCATTGCTTGATTTTGAACCCTCTAAATCCGAAGGTACGGAGATAACGAGATTATGGTCACTGTTGTCACCACTTGCTCTCTTGTCTGTGGGGACTTTCGATGATTTGGGTGTTTCCACAATCAAAAACGCTGGCTTTGTGCCAAGATCGTCGGATCCAGAAAGTCCAGAAACAGATACCTTTTCTACCCGCAACTGGGGTTTCGATGTGACTCCAACTGTAGTTGAGGATGCAGTTGTTGAGGGATTGACTACCTCGATCTTCTTAGGAATGCTGTCCATAGATTCTTCATGTTTTATCTCTAGTCTTTCTAGATCAGGTGTGATTGTTTCCTCTTCCAAGGGTTCCGATGGGAAGATGTTGGGAGATTTTCCCGAAATGGGAAGGTCAAGAGTCAGAGTCTCATTGTTTGGAAGAGAAAACCCTTGGGTGTTCAATTCTTTTGGAACAGGGAAGTCTTCCAGGGTGCTATTCTTATCACTCATTTCCGAATCCTTCTTCTTGGGCACAGATTTTAATGGCTTCTTCTTGTTCTTCTTCTGTTTCAAAGGAGTTGCTACAGTTACGTTTGATTTATCTCCTTCTATCGATGTCGAATTAGCATCTAGTGGAACAAAATTAATCCCCATGTCAAACGTTTCGTTAGCGGCTAAAGCTTCTGGGACTGTTGGGAGCACACTTATCGGAAAGGGAAACTTGAGTTGGATCTCTTTGTCTGATACAACTTTCGGTTCGGGAGAATCACTTGCGAGAGTTGTGGAGACAGTAGAGGTTTCATTGTGTGATTTCGGTGTTTTTGATTTGCGAGCATTCTTCTTTTTGGGATTCTTCTTCTTGGACGGCCCGCTGCCGTCTTCTGCATTGGGTAAAGTGGTTGGTAAAGTTTCTTCCAAAGTGATTACCGTTCCTGGAAGAATGGTGGTATCCCATGGAAGGCTACCAACAGTTGCTGTTTCGTCATTCTTTGTCGCGTCCTCTACAAGCTTCTTAATGGGTAGTTTTTCCAATAATGGAGAATCACTCGGCATGTCAAACTTTTTCTTTTTCCTGTCCTTCTTGGGCTTTTTCGTAGTGAATTCTGGTTGCTCAGATAATTGCGAAGAAGCAAGCACCTCCATATTTTGTCTATTATGCATGTCTGGTTTACTCATAATTTCCATGAGGTCACCGAATTTGAGCACTTTTTCCATATCATTTGGTTTAGAGTCTGTGGTGAGATGTTCAGCATCGACAAGTGTCTTGCTAGTACTTTCTTCTGCTTTCAAAATCTCTACGAGTTGTGCGTTCGTGATTTCCGAAGTTGAAATTGGCAACGTAGACGTAATCTCGATGTCAGATACAGTTGGCTTCACTTTGTTCTTTGCTAATGACGACGATTCTGCTCCCACTTCCCGCATCTTCTTCCTGTCCAGATCTGAAAGTTACATTTTTGTTAGAAAAGACTCAGCCTATTTTGTACGCAGTGGACCGGCAAATTTGTTTCTGCGAGCTTTTCATCACTGCTTGGTGGCTATATGGATACGCTAAATCCAGAAGTGTGCTTGATATTCTTTGAAGTAAAAAAATGATTTATGACGTACTCCGGCCTTAGAGATTAAAGGGGCTGGACCGGAGATTTCCGCGATTCGAATAGCTGGCAGCATTTTGGCGCGGCAATTGGCTGCCTAAGCTAACCAGCCAATTGCCGCCAAGATGAATGAAGTGGCTCCACCCATACAGTCTCCTAGTCAATCGCTGTTTTTGACGGAATTTTCCCTCCCAACCCCTCCATCAATTCCTCATGCCCACAGAACGCAAAACGAATAACTTTCCTGACAACTCTAAGAAATTTGAAACTACTAAATCGGCACATCCAGAGGCTAAGGAGGAATGGAAAACTCGCAGTCGCAAATCTGCTGAGCCACCATCTTTAGATGTCGCAAAGGCTTGAACTAGTTGGTGTTCCAAGTATAAACATCATCGAGAATTTTGCTAATTTCGTAAAAATATGACTAGTGGTAGAAACATTTGTCAAATAAAGTATTACAAGAGAATCTATTACAAAACCACAAGTGACAAAGTATGTTTCAAACATAAGGCTGTTGCTGAGTCGATTGTTAAAACATGTACGAATCCTCATGAGCCAGCTTTTGTTAAGATTGCCACAATTCTTACTTTTTAATGAGTCAAGCTGCATATCCAACTATGTGATTGAACTGAATCAAATTTGACACCCGGAAGTGTACTTACCATATGCGTGGACGATAAGTCGTTTTGAAGTTTTGTCAGGTGTATAACCGATAACGATATTTTTGCCCTTGGAAGCGCTGTCGATCTACAATAAAGAGGATTATTTGTGCGCATGGCAGTGACTCTATTATTGAAATGCTTTACCTTTCAGAAAGGAAATCAACTCTTACTCCACATAGCAAAGTATGATCTAACTGCTAATCAACAAAAGCTCTTGGCAACAGCTTTAATGGCTCAAAAATTGTTTCTTTTTTCAAGAAGTTCTGCGGTGAAAACAAATTTACCATTTCACTCCGTTTTTACAAAGCGAAAGGAAATATGAAATTCATATTTGTCAATCATTACTAGTACAGGGTGTCCCAAAAAAATGTATCGAACGTTTGATCGTTAATATCTCTCTCCTGAAGAAGTCTTTTCTCTTGCTTCAGGTACCAATCTGTAGAGCTGGCTTCAACTTAGATTTGCATTATAGAATGAATCAACCATCTCTCTTCATTACTGTAGGATTACGGTAGAAACTTCAAAGAGGGTTTTAAACAATAAAAGGCCATATTTTGCCCCAGAAAGGAAACAAAACAGCCTGAAAACTTTGACACTAGGCTAATTAGAGTTGCTGATTATAACTGTAGAGTTCCCAACTTATTATGATGCTTCATTGAAGAGTTATGCCAGGTAAGAGGTAGCGGCCATTTTTTCAATGTTCCTAAAAAGTGCGATTACGCCGTTTATAAAGCTTCGTAATCTTGTGAATCGTTGAGTATTGAACTCAGCGTCCATAAAAATCTTATTACACAAGTTTTCACAATTTTTTAAAGAATTTTGAAACGGCAGTTTTTCATATGTTTCAAGTTTCTACGGTAATCCTACAGTAATGAAGAAAGATGGGTGATTCGTTCTATAGCGCAAATCTAAGTTGAAGCCAGCTCTACAAAACGGTACCTAAAGCAAGGCAAAAGACTTCTTGGGAAGAGAGATATTAACAATCAAACGTTCGATCATTTTTTTGGGACACCCTGTATAAGACAGGGCAAAATTAATTTATTCTGACCAGTAATACAAAGTTCTGCTAGCAGAATCAGTCGCAATTAGCACTTATGCTAATGCAAAAAAATTTGCAAATTTGCTTGAACAGCAACTACGTACCTTCAAAAATGGTCCGGGCGTAGGACTCGATGTCGAAACGGTTACTAAATCAAATGGAGATAGTAATACATAAGTAATGAACTTCACTTACCTATGTCTACACCATCGAAAAAGTCATCAATAGCCCTGTTTTCCGCAGCTGTCAAATCTTCTTTGTTTTCTTCGTGTAAGTTCAAATCCCCTCCAAAATGCCCTTTACTAGCATGTGAGCTTTCTCTGTCGGCAATTGTGGCCCCGACTTCTTTACTGCGGAATTTCTCCGATTTTCTACCATTCTTCTTTTTGGAAATAGGTTTGCTCAAGCCTTCACCAATGAAATGATCCTTTCCTAAGCTATCTGCTTGAGCCCGAACAACGAACGGCTGTTCATCTTTGATGTCTTTCTGATTACCAAAGATAGGTGACTCCTCTAGACTTTCTTTTCTTTCGCTTGCACTCAGTGATTCACTTCCATCATCCACTGTCTTCTTTTCATCAAAGCTTATTACATCGACAATTTGCCCAGGTGGAACGACTACTACATTGGGTAAGGCAGTGGGCACATCAACTGATGTCGGAACGTCGGTTTTGAATTGTTCTGACCCCTTTCCTGTTTTTATCGAATTCTCCCCAAAAAAGCTTCCATTTTCGGAAACATCGATATAATCGTCAGTCGAAGAAACTATCATTCCTTCTTGTTCAATCTCTGTCCTATTGATTTCTAGAACGTTGGACACTGACTCCGGCTTCCTTGTGGGTAAATCGAAGTTTTCCTCTGCAAATGCTTGTTTTTTATTGCTGAAGATATATCATCTTGAACGTTTTGGCTTTACCTTCTTCTACTGGATCTAGTGTTGTAGAATCGCTTTGATCTTCTGCAGGTGACAGCTTTGGAAATGCAGGCGCATGAACGTCCGGTGGTAAAGGGTCAACAGGTGGTGCCTGGCAAGTAACTCTGTTATAGCGGTTGATGTACTGAAAAAACTACAAAATGATCAGACTTCATAGTCATCATCGTCTTCTCTTCCGGATGGGTCGGGAGGAGGACGTTGTGGACCACTTTTCAGTGAATCTGGTATGGCTACATCTCCGTCTTTATTCATAGAATCTTCTGTAAAATCATGTCTTAAATTATCCTGATTTTTCCCCAAGCTAGCACTGCTCCCAACTCGCACTCAAGAGAGCGCTAATTCCTGATTTGGTATTCAAGAGCTAGTAAGCTGGCATTGTGTTTACTATATTTGTGGTATGGTATTGGGAACTAAGGTAGTGGTACAGTAAAAGACCCTCACTGTATGACATTCCATATTTTTTGGATTACGCATTGCAGTAGAAAAGACACAAGTTGATCAAAATCGGAGACAATGCAATCTTCTCAAACGCTCAGTTTGTCGTTTATAATCTTTACAAAACATAAGACACTAAGATTTCTGTAATAATGATGACTTACCTGCATAGGCCAAGGCTAGAATTAGAAGAAGCACAGCTATGCGCATATCGTAGTTGCAAACGTTTCGCTTATTTCTGGGGCCAATTATTCTTAGAACGTCCTGAAGATGTCTTAGAATATTAACCTAGAAAAGAGTTATAATAGCTGATCGAAATAGAGCGTGAGCCTATTAAGTTTAGAAAAGAAGCCATAGATGAATATAGAGATGGAAAAGATCAAAAAATGTTGAAGAGAGGTTTACTAGTAATGTAGACGTGTTCTTTTTGTAGCTTATGGAAAACCCAATTCTACTTTTTACAAGAGACCATCATCTTTTCATTATGGTTTAAGGAGAGTTGAAATTATATTTTTTTGAGCTGCAATAGTTGTCATTCTTTCTAAACTAGCACAGAAGGATCCAAACCTTGTGAAAAACACATTGAATCCATGAAAACATATAAATTACAAATGACACATGAGGTTGCAATTCGAACAGCTTAGAGATCTTACTACGGATTTACGCTGCGGGAAACACTTTCGCGATTAGGCATTTCTTGATGAATTTCGAAGATAGGCTTACGGCTACATCACAACTAGTTTGCAATTCTTAACGGCCTTGTAAGCAACATAAAATTTCAAATTATACAACATTGCAGCTAACCTCCTTCAATTCTTGATCTAGCTGATCTAGCTCTGGTTAATTGGGATTCGTATGAATAGTGTAGACCTGATTTGATGACCCCCTTTGGAATTTGCATGAGCGCGATCAACATAAATAAAGCTATAGAAATGATGAGGATATAGTAGCAACTTCAGTAATTTTCTATAGGGCGAATAAAGCAATCCTAGTCAATCCCAAAAAGAGTTTTTTTTGAGTTTTGAAATTAGAAAATAATTCCGGTTTTTCGCAACCTAGTTTCCTCATTTGGATAAGGATGCCAATCGTAGTCGTGTTTCCAAAAAATCGGTTCAACAAAATTTTATTCATAATTACAATTATTTTGATCTATGCCGCTTGCTTGAGGAATCACTTGTATAGAACTACAACGCCTCCTGTCAAATTAACGTCTTTTTGGCCCTGATCCTTTCTCTTTTCACTCTTCGTTCTTCATTGGTATGTACGGGGTGCAAAATTACCGATGCGTGTTGCCTTGGGTGCCGGAAGGATACTAGACAGGCTCGAGGACGGATCAAGTAGGCATTTGTTTTCATCAACCATCATTATCGATGCAATAGTCAAATAAGAATTTGGATGCTTTATCTTTGGAAAAAATCTCAATTTCTCTCGCTAATTGAAGTGTACCCTTAGGCAAGCATGACTTTGAGAATCTATATAACATTTTTGATAACCTTTTCTCTTGCTCTGTGAATGAGCACGAAAGTAAAGCAAGCCTTTTCCTCTAATACTGCTAAGTACGGAAATTTGAAAATTGATTCGATAAAGTTTGATTTCTCAAAAACATGATTGAGAGGCAGCATACCGAAAATTGGTGTGGTTGTGGCTTTCCTGGATGCGCCTTGGGATCAGATATGCCTTCTAAATCAGATTCAAAACCATTTTAACTAATCGGTCATGATAGATACTCTTCTACATCTTGCATGAATAGAGAAAAGTTTTTTTACTTGGAAGGTTTTGCATGTCTGGGTCAGTCTGTACTCATAATTGATCTTGAACACAAGGTTATGCTCGTAGGCATATATTTTTCACAATTTGTTCTTGATTCGCGAAGGAACAAATTCTGCAAATGCAACTAGGCCTATGTGATAGTGCAAATTGTGCTCTGCAATCTCAGTTTGGAAGAGTCTGAACGGCTTGAGTTCACTATTTACAGAGTAGACATAAAAACTGCACTTTTTCTTCTCTTGAACTTGGTGGTCTAATTCTTTTACTTCTCACGTTCTTGAAAAGAGGTCTTTTCAGTCCTGTAGAATGGATCCTGTAGAGATTGATTAGTGTCTTCTATGACATAAATTTGAGCTTGAACCTCTTAGTGGTTTCTTCGTAGCACTGTTTGTAAAGTTGGCGCCGGGTATTTTGGCGCACTCTGTAGTTGTGAGAGTAGCCTTATGCACCAAAATCATGCAAATTCGTTTGAAAAAACTGTTTTTCGTTCTAGTCCCACTCCTGTGATAAAATTCGTCCAGACCGTGTTGTGTGAAATTTTCATATTGTCACTTGCCACCTTCACTACATTGTAGACATCTTTGTGAAGTCGTATGACAGTTCCTGCGAAGACTGTTTGTAGCTCACTGGGTACATATGCTTTACGCAAGTGAGCTTACTGAAACAAAAAGGTGAAACTACATTGATTATCAGTGGATCTTAAGCTCTTGTTTTGTTCATGATTTTGCCGTTATAAAAACAGAAAAACGAAGGAACGTTGAAAAATACAAAAAATCATAACTATGGCGGCCATTGATTGTGCACGGTTTCATTTCGTAATGAGTATTGCTGTAGAAAAAAAAGCCTATGTTCTCCGGTGTTCATTCATAGATGCTGGAATAATTTAAAAGACCTTTGACATCTCCCAAAGCATATCGAAATTGTGCAGATTTGCTTTACATCGGCCCAAAAGAGTCATGTGGCGTTTGCGCACGAAGTGTAAAACGCTCGTCACATCTCAGATTTTCTTGGTTTTTCTTGCGTATGTTTTGAGAAGTCTTTGCCAAATGCTTATTGGAGAATAGCACTTTCAGGAGACTCACGCATGAGCGCATTCACAAGGTTTCTCTCTTGTGGCAACTCTCTTTGAAGGTCCCGACGAAACTGTTGTGTACAGGGATACAGTGCTGTACTGGTAGACTTTCCAACTAATCTATCAGTGAACTGGAGCGAAAAGGCCTTGGGAAGCCCAAAATCCGCTCCGGAAGTCTTCTGAACCCCGCCCACTCACAGATATTGAGAGAACGCGGACATGGAAAGCTTTAAAAGCTCATTTTTGCTATTTTCATGCGCTGGAAACCCCAGATATGGCTTCAGCATGACCAGAAGATTCCGAAAAGGTGAAAAAACCGGAGGCAAAATTTTGCCGGGACACTGCCCTGAAGATATTTCATCTTGTGCGATCTTTGCACTAACATTAGAATAAGCGATGATATGACAGAATATTCCGTAACCGGTAGTTTATCTAGTGGAGCAACATTGTCCAAACCACTCTGCACATGATACAGCGCTACCAAACGCGCAACTGAGCTCTGCGATAACTCTGAGTTTGGTGCGTGTTCCAGTCTTCCATGAAACTTAGGCCCGTATGCACGTACATCCCCGCGGGGAGGGGATGTGCGCTTAACCATTGAAATGATCCCCGCTGGGGATCCCCTCCCCTCCCTGCGCTAACCCCCGTATGCACAAAGACAATATCGGACAAGGGATCCCTGTGGGGAGGGGAAGTGAACCCTCTTATGCACAAGAGGGGATCAAGCGGGGAAATCATCATGCTTTCAAATTTTCTATGAAAAACTCTTTCTTATTTCATATTTTGACTGCAACTCATCTTCATCTCCTCACTTTCATTAATTTAGGGTTGCGGAATGCGCGTATGCAGTGACTGCGCTCGGGGCACTAAAAATGATTTTTTCTACTCCCATTATGTTCCTGCTTTCTTGGATGCTGCCCACTTTCGCTCATGCTGCTCCATTTCAGCGTAAAAATGTTAAACTATAGAAGTTGATGTGTTTCTGCAAGGGAATGGGTAGAAGACGTTATGCTGCCGAAAAGGGGGGGGGGTGCTGCGCGGACGCTCAAAGCAGTATTCAACACATAACAGAAGCTGCAAATTGTGCCAGCTCTCCATAAACGCTGTAGCTATCAGCTGCATATCGTCCTTTATCCCAGGGGAATGATCCCCAGCAGCCATCCCTGCTATGCACAAGGGGAACGCTGGGGAGGGGATCACTCCCCAGGGGATTTCTACTCAGAAATAGGCAAATATGCTACTTTCTAGTTTTTTTCGAGGCAGCTTATGTTAAAATAACAAGATAATGGCAACATGTCATGAAATATGAAAGTTACAATGTGTTTACTCAGCCCATATAGTTAAAACTATTATGTTATATGAAAAATGCGCAAATTTCCTGAATGATCAACAACTCCTACAAATAATCGAAATTGGCAGCTATTGTTGCTCGGATTTCTTCTCAAGAGGCGAATATAGAAAAGAAACACAAATTGCAAGCCACAGGTCGCTGAGAGAAAAACCCGGCTTTCAAAGAAAATCCTCCATAAAAATGAACGAAATGCTTGGTAATGACTGAGCAGAACCAGAATATCCGCGTCTCTGGTATGATCTACACCATCGAACCCCTACTTCGTTGCAGGGGATGTCGATCCCCTCCCCCGCGTTATTGAGTTGAATTCGCGCATACGGGGTTCGAGTGGGGGAACGGAGGGGATCCCCTCCCCCATTCGAACCCCCTATGCACTGGGGTTCGCGCGATCAATACCTCTGAAGCCATTCACACCATCCCCGCTTAGGTGCAGGGGAGGGGATCGCTCCCCTCCCCTCTGTCATGGCGGGGTTCGGCGGAGGGGATCCTCCCCCTGGGGATCCAGCTCCCCTCCCCTCCCCAGCGGGGACGTACGTGCATACGGGCCTTAGAGATAACTCTGAGTTGTTAGAGAAAGAGAAATAGCGCAAAGAAGAGGAGCAGCTAAAAAGTCCTCCGGGGTACATTTTGATTGTAATTTCAGAAGGCATGATGATGGTATCGTGGTGCGCCGATTTACAAAATTTTGGAATTTTGTAAAACCTTGGCCCAGGAGGCTATTCGGTGTGCTGATCACGAATATGTTATTCAGTTTTCACCTTGGGGCCATAAAGCTTGGTTACGATGGGTTTACGGCAGACAGGAGAAGATCAATCAAAAAGTGTCATTTTGAGTGATTAGTAGGCATACTGTAAGTGGACCAAATCATAGAATAAGGGCAAAGTTGCCCGGAGAGTGTATTCAATGCGCAAATTCTAATAGTCCCCTATCATTGCCTATGCCGCCCGTTCTTACTATAGTTTTTTCACTATAGTTTTAAACTTTCAGCCGCACAAAAGACTAACTCGCGCGATAGATCAC